CATATTGAAATGGCCTTTTTTCCAAAGCGACTGCTGGAGTGTGTGACAAGTGAAAGATGTGGGGAATAATAAGTGTGCCAGGCGTATATCGTAATAGAGGTTTGTGTTAGGAAATGAAAAAGGAGAGGCGTTAAGGGGTAAAAAAACCAAGAAAGTGGGCTTGGATACATACTTGACGTACTCTGGCGCGTGTTCATTTCTTTACTCCTCATTCAACAATAATGCTATTAGGCAGGCACCACTTGAGTCCTATGGTTTGTGGCAAAATGCAGGCAAGGCTTTTTTTTAACCACCTTATTTGCAAGGCATATGGGCAAACATCACAGAATGGGCACTGTCATATTATTCACTAAACTGGGAATTGTGCAAAATTTACAATTGCCAATTGTAGGTCAGACACATTGAAAATTAAAAAAATAAAAATCTTTAACTCATCTACTTTTTCATCATAGCCTAAAACATGCAAATACTATTCTTGGTTTAGTGCCATTGGGGAACACTACTTGGTCAAACTTTGCATTTTATAGAATTTCTTTGTGTTTCTATAGATTATAAACGTAATGACGTATACACATTGGGTGTACATTTAACTGTAAATTAGATGTAGTGCAAACTAATTGAAAAACAAGCTTATGTTTAAGGTTACAGGACCCCTAATTATAATGTTAACCCCTTAAGGACTGGACTGTTTTTGCGATGTTGTACATTTGCGACCAGGCCTCCTTTTACACTTTTGTGGTGTTTGTGTTTAGCTGTAATTTTCCGCTTTCTTATTTACTGTTCCTATACAAATTATATATATATTTTTTTCAGGACAAAAGGGGCTTTCTTTACATACCATTATTTATATAATCTCTTGTATTTTAATTTAAAAAAAATAAAAAAATATGATGAAAAATTTAAAAAAATACATGTTTTTTTACTTTTACTTGAAAAATCTTTTACTGATCTACAAAAGCAAATTAAAAAAACTGCTAAATAGATTCAAAATGTTGTCCTGAGTTTAAAAATACCCAGTGTTTACATGCTTTTTTTTGCATGTTATAGGGCTATAGGTACAAGTAGGATATTGCGGTTTCAAAACATACATTTTTAAAATTTATCAATAGTGACATTGTAACACTTTTATCTGTCATAAATCTCTGAATAACACCCCACATGTACATATTTTTTTTAAAGTAGACAACCCATGGTATTCAATATGGGGTATGTCCAGTCTTTTTTAGTAGCCACTGGCCAAAGTAAAAAAACACTAGCCAAAGTAAGCATTCATATTTGTTTGTGTGTGAAAAAAGTAAAAAAACTAAATTGAAGGCTAATTTTGGCCAGTGTTTGTGACTAAGTGGTTACTAAAAAAGACTGGACATACCCCATTTACAATACCTTGGGTTGTCTTCTTTTGCAAATGGTATGCCATCATGGGGTAATTCTCATTCCTGGGCTACCATACGCTCTCAAAGGCAACGTAACCAACCTGGCCATTTTCAATGTAAAAATATTTGACCCATATATTTGACCTTGTAACTTTCAAAAATACTATAAAACCTGTACATGGGGGGTACTGTTTTACTCAGGAGACATCGCTGAACACAAATATTAGTGTTTAAAAACTGGAAAACGTATCACAACAATTATATCATCAGTAAAAGTGCTGTTTGTGTGTGAAAAATGCAAAAAAAGTCACTTTCACTGACAATATCATCGCTGTGATATGTTTTACTGTTTTGAATCACTAATATTTGTGTTCAGCGAAGTCTCCCGAGTAAAACAGTACCCCCCATGTACAGGTTTTAGGGTGTCGTAGAACGTTACAGGGTAAAATACAGTGCTAGCAAATTAAATTCTCTGGACTTTCGGCCTGGGTTGGCAGGCAGGTCCCTCAAATTGCAATCAATAAAATTACTTAATTATGTAAAAATATTACATAAATACGCACGTAGAATTTAAATATATATGCATATTTATATATTTGAAGTCTACGTGTATATTTATATAATTATTTATGTAATTTTGTATATGGACATATGTATATTTTGTATTATTTTTATTTATTTATATATACATAGATATATATACAAATTCATTCTAAGTGTATTTTGATATAAATATATATTAATTTTAAAATACAGTTAGAATAAAATTTCATATAGATATATTTTTTTTTATTTTTATTATTTAAAAAAAATTATTTAAATTACTTATTATTTATATTTTATAATAATATATATATACAATATATATAGTTATTATATATTATATATATACGTGTGTAATTTAATTATAAGTATATTTTTATATTAATATAAGTACATATTAATATAAAAATACACTTAGTATGACATTATATATATGATATATAGACATATTATATATAAATAATATATGTCTATATATCATATATATATATACACATATAATTTTTTTTCATTTTTTATAAACATTAACTTTATTTTTTTTTTGATTTTACACTAGCAGGGAAACTGCCTGTCAGCACAGACAGTCCCCCTGCAGGCAGACACATGGACACCTATTGTGACCATGTGATCGCTGTGTTACAAAAATAAATGTAGTAACAATAAATGAAAATGGGCACATAAAGAACAAAGAAACAAACCATATATACAAATCGTATCAGCTAGAAAGTGCAGTCCAAGCTGATTGAATAGATATATTAATAATGGCGCGCATCAATATTTATCTACTTGCTAGCAGCTATGTTACAAAAAGGTGTAACCGCAAATCTAATAGAGAGCATATGGATCACAGTAAACCCCTCAAAACTAACAAACACTGATACGTAGAATTATAAATACAATTGTTCCTAAATGAGAGCCCTACAGTAAGGAAACAGTAGCGCCACAAATGCTAATGCCCGTCATTGATTATGGGGATGTAGTGTATGCACCCGCACCGCAAACCTACCTCAATAAACTTAATACGTTATATAATTTGTTCTGCTGCTTTGACTAGAATGTAAATACTTTACCCACCACTGTGACATGTTAAAAGGGCTAAACTGGCTATCGCTGGAATCCCAACGCACTCTTCATCTTTCCATACTTGTGCATAAGCGCATTTCTGGGAAGCTCCCCCCCCTCCCTGAGTAGAATTCTCTCCCCGGCTGTTCCCACCTCCTATAACCTCCGATCCAGTACTGACGCAATATTTAGCATACCACAATACAAAAATAAAGTGTCTCGATCCTCATTTTCCTACAGAGCACCTCAATTATGGAATAACCTCAGGGACACAGTCAAATCTTCATTCTATCTAAAATCCTTTAAGAGATCTATGGCAATATACCTCAATACAGAATGCATCTTTCATGGTTGACTATATATATTAACTATGTGTTTAATTTATATAATGTGTGTATATTGTAATATTTTATTAGAATTTTTTTTTTGTAATATTATATTGTACCTTTTTGTAACAATGCAATGTTTGTGGGCCCAGGACATACTTGAAAACATGAGAAATCTCAATCTATCCATCCTCGTAAAATGTTTTTAAAATAAAATAAATAAATTGTACATAACCTAACACTGTGCCATCAAGGACAGGGCCATCAAGACCACCTGTACTGGAGGTAAAGAGATGCTAAACTATCTAGCTGTTAAGTTTATAACCATCATCACAAGGCTACCATATCTAATTTGGTCATCAGATCGCCAAATATCATAAAAGCCATTATTGCTGCATATTAATTTAGCCCAAATAGTATATCACCATCGAAACGCACATCATGGGTTCTGCTCCATGTACTATTAGGGCTAGCAAGTAGATATATATTGAGGTGCTCAATTATTAATATATCTATTCAATCAGCTTGGTAATGCTCTTTCTAGCTTACACTATTTGTATATATTGTTTGTTGCTTTGTACTTTGTGTGTCCATTTTGATTTGTTTGGTTTTTAAATTGAAATAGAATTAAAGTGAAGTTTTAATTAATTTTGGGTGACCTTTTTTTTTTTCTTCAGGACCGCCTTCGTTTGTTAAGATGTAGCGCACATCAGAGTAGGTTTACTACAAATTCAACCATTCAGTTAGCTGAGAGACAGGTTAGGAGCTATTCAAAGCTATCTTTTCAAATTCTTCCCCGGACATGCACAATAAGTCTCTTTAATTTTTTTTACAAATTGGCAACCTACAGAAGGGTCAAATAAATTTGGTAATGTAGAACTCCCCAAAAACTGGTCCATTTTAATGAGTGAGCCTTTTATTTGAGAATATGAAGCAGAGAAGTAAATCTCCCTTTATTTGAAATGGACACTCTGGACACCTAAAACACTTTGGCTTGCTGAAATGATTTATGCGTGAAGAGTGTCTCCTCTTTTTTCATTTTACATAAAGTACAAGATTTCAACAGAAACCAGCATGTTTAAATTAACCTGGTTACATCCCCCTGAATTCAAGCACACTACCGCTCCTGTTACTTCCTGGTTTGTTAAGCATAGTGGAGCATAGTGGGAAGTCTGTAATTGGACATAAACAGAATATCTGGGCTGGGTAGAAGGAGAGAGCTTGCAAAGGCTCCATAATATAGTGATTTGATGCTTTTGCAAGTTGTTTTGAGATACACCCCCAATGAAAAAAGGCACATTTAATGCATGCATGGTTTCATTTGGGATATATCTAATAAATAGTAAATGTTAAATAGGTTTTATATCTGGGCAGTGGAGTGTCCCTTTAAAGATAAAATTGCACATACATTTTTTTTACTTATTCTGTACACATTAATTATTTTGTCAGACAAAAACATGGGAACACTAACCTGAACATGCAAATATTAGCTGGGTGGTGCAAAAATGACCAAAAAAAGAATATTCATAAGAAAGTTAGTAGCTGGCAGAAGATTACATGGCTGTGTGATAGAATCCTCTTATCTTCACTCGGATATCATGCCTTTTATATTTCATTAAATTATACAAAAACTTGGAGAAAGTATCAGTCTTTGTGGTTTTAGAAAGGAATGTGAAAACAAAAATTACAAAACTAGTTAAGGCCTTCAACAACTTTATTGAAATTTATATAAATAAATAATCATGCACAATTTAAATGTAAACCAAGTGAACTTAAAGTGCAGACAAACCTGTTACCTCCATCATGCAGAAGGTTAACATCTCACATAAAACCAAAAAAAACCAAAAAAACAAAAACAAAGCAGCTTTAAAATACCAGGATAGATTTCATTAGCTTTTTATACTGAGCTAGATAGCAAAGCCATTTGTCCTGGCCAAATGCATTGAATTGTATTTTTAATGCTAATGTATAAATAAAATAATTTACCAAAATGTGCACTCACAGAGTGAACTTTTATTTACAATACACAATTTAAAACCTATTGTATTTAATTACATTAGTTCAAGTGAAGAATATCATAATTCTTTCTTTATAGAGCAGGACAGTAAAACTCTTCAGGTAGTAAGATATGTAAAGCATCTCCCAACACTCATGAAGCTCCTGTCTTAGGCAGTATACAAAACAATGATACATTCTTCAAACAAGATCACAGGTAAAGCAGCAAATTAAGAAGTTGTTTTATAAAATGTTCCATGTTTTGAGTTTTTTTTTTTGGCATCCTGGACCCTTGTATGCAGATAGCCAACATAAATTCAAGGCTTGTACGCAATATACACAAGTACAGGTTCTGTTAATTGAACATGCAAAAATGCCGGTTGTCCTATTTTATAACAATTCTTTGAGATGAGTTGTAAGGCCATGGTGATTTATAAAGGGAGCACACAATGAAAATTCACCAGAATTACCCTTTCAAAAGGCAAATCAAAGAAAAATAATGCATTTAAGATTAGTCCACAGTCATTGTCACCGGCACCATGTGCCTTTATATAAACTTTACATTTACAGTGTCTGGAGAATGCAGAATTCTCCTACTAAAGTAATCTCCCTGGGGAAAAACTTACAACACAAAAATGTAACAATCGACTTACAGGAGATCATAAACTTTGCACCCATTTTAAACAATGTAACAGGAATTCAACACGTGACAAAGGAAACGTACATTCAGCTGCAATTTGTTTTGACAAAGCATGAGATTCCAAATCCATTACACAGCATTACATAATATTAAAAAAAACAAAAACAAAAAACCACGAAACAATATAAAAAGGCTAAAACACCTTTGCTAGTTCACAATATTGTTATTATTCAGATGTCAAGCAGCTTGCACTGATTCCAGAGAAGTAGTTTTTATATAAATATGTATAAGGGTCCTTGAGCTGTTTTGCTTTTTTGTAGGTATGCAAAATAAGGGCAAAAGGAACCACGCATGTTACATAGCAAACAAAAAAAATGAAAATATCCTAACAAATAATTCCTAAATTAATCTAACTTTACTTATCTTCCAGGCTAAACAGACAGAAAAAAAAAATAGAATTGTCTTTGCAAGAAATTTGCATCGAGCTGCAAGATTGCCTGTCGGTTGTGTCTTAAAAGTAAGTCTATTAAACTCTGCTTGAAATTCTTGGCAATTTAATTACAATGAATTTTCCACAACAAGCCTAAAATGCCCTGTGGAGAGAGGTGACATGAAGGCTCCTAAACCTATTTAAATATTAACAGCATACAATAACTCAACATTATAAATACCAATTATTTAAAAGAGCAAAAATAATAATAATAATAATAAAAAAAATCTTTGTAGGTTTCAGTTTCAGCTTGTAAATACAAGATGAAAATGAGCAGAGCCTATTTTGTTCACAGTTTCCATTATACTACCCCTTTATGGAACTTGGCAACAAAACTATTCAAAAATACATGTTTACATTCTGTTAGCTGAAATTCCCCATTTTGGACAATATATGAAAAAAAATTACAGGAAAAAAAAAATATATATTTTTGGCAGACATTACATCTTAATAGTATTATTTATTTTATTCTACTTATGGCTTCACTGGCCTTTTTTTTAACTAGTTGGTGTACATACAATTTTCATTCTCTATATCATTTTCATTGTCATTTGATTCTTCGTCACTTTCCAGCGGTACACCAATGGCAGCTGAAGCACTTTGTTTAGGTTCTCGGTCTAGTGGAAAAAAGCCAGTTCCGCTCATCGTATCTTGTCTCTGATAGAAAAGCACATAAGCTGCTTTGGACTGTAAAACAAACAAAAAAAATCTATTATATTTACTGGAAAAATATTGTCAAAAGGCAATATTGTTGTTAATGGATGGCTACTTAATTAAATTAAAGAAAATGAAAACAACCAACATATTGTACAAGGACAATGTGTCCAATATAATAATGCACAATGTATCCTTAAATGTAAAGAATACTCCTACAAAGACTGTTTTACACTGTATTCAACTGCATTTGCCAGAAATTATAACAGTTTCAGGTCAACATGTAGATATAGATTGCCAACATAAAAAGTCTGTTTTCATTCCTTCCCCTTTTCTTTTGTTTTAAATGGTAAAATGAGGCTTTTGTAGTATTTTTGTCCATGGGCCTTGTGATCTTGTTTATGGTAGATTCCAAACATAAAGCAGCACCGTTTCCTTTTCTCTTCCTCTCTCAGAATCTGTTGTTCTTCTCTTTATTTCTGATCTAGTTTTCTTTAAAACATAAAGATAAAGTAGGAACTACTTTGTCTTATGTATTTTTCCTACGCTTGACTTTCTTTGACCAAAGGAGGAGCTAAAGTCAGTTCCATTTCCTGTATCAAGGAAAAGGGTGAGTACTTTCTTTGACACAGAAAATATACAGAAGACAAAGTAGTCCCTACTTGCCGCTTCAAGCCAGATGAATACAAATGCTTTTAAGCATTCCTGACAGCTCAGTCACTATATGACTAGTGTAGGGCTAGAACACATTCTTCAGGAACAAAAATGGTGCAGAGCCACTCTTTGTGAGTGTGAGACAGACAGACAGACAGACACACACCCCCCGTCCTGGGAGTGACAGGCATATTTCTTATTATATATATATATATTTGTGTATATACAAAAAGGGGCTACAACATGTGATCAATATTTCAAAAAAAATGTTGATCATGTTACAGTAAAAACTTAAATGTAACAATCATGAGTCCTGTGAGTTCACTTTTTGTTATGTTTTATATGAATACACGATTGTACCAAGACAAAAGTATAATATTGAGGTTGAGTGTTTAAATTATTTCTTTATCTGTCTGCCTGTCTACTTCAAAAATAATTTTATAGTTTTCCATTTGATCAAAAATAAAATACTTGCCACTATTTGGTCCTCAGATGCAGGTGACACACTGCTGTCATCAAAATAGTACCATTTTCCATCATCTTTATTTTTAGCAAAAGCAGTATCTAATGAAGAAAAAAAAAGCACAATAGCTAAAATACCAATCTTTTTATTTCAGACTGCTGCAAATGGTTAAAATATATTATATACTTAGGCCTCAATTTAATATTGTTGGATAAACTTCCCAAATGATTTAATATTCTGGATAAACTTTCCAAATGATTTAATATTTTGGATAAACTTTTAAAATTATGTTTTTCAACATATTAAAAGATCAAAAATATAGCATATAAAAAAAAAACCCTATCTATATATATAAAATTAAAATAGGAAAGTAGTGTAAATTTTTTTTTCAATAACATTAAAAATTTTTAAGTCATTTGGAAAGTTTAACATAATTTATTGTTTGTAAATAGATTTTTTTTTACCCTTTTGGTCATTTTTGCAAAGCTTGTGGGTTGGGGGTGTATTTAAAAATGACCAATTTTATGCAAGACTTCCAATAAACATCTTCGTACACAAGGACAAACTGAATTTTTTTTTTAATATCTAAGATGTGTAAAGCTGAAACAATGTAGCTAAAATACCCTGCAAATTGTCATTTGCCACACATTATCTGGTATTATTGGAGGAGCTATTTTTTATAATGACATCATTATGACAGCAGATTAAAATGGTGACTATGTCGGTGCAAAGCCCATATACAACTGTCTGGACATAACCACCAGGCACTTGTATTTTCAAGGGGCATCTACAGCCTGCTTATATACCCTGAGCCTCTATAACCATCCATTAGATCTGGTTGTCATACATCAGTATTGTACAGATTGAGGCTTACAGTCTCCCATACAGTGTGAATGGGAAGGGGGTATCACCATTGATAGACCCACTACATTTTGGAAGCCAAGAGACATTGATTTATTTATTGATAAAATATTTTATTTTTTATAAAATATTTTACCAGGAACGATACATTGAGATTTCTCTCGTTTTCAAGTATGTCCTGGGTCCACAAATCATTGCATTGTTACATTATGGTACAATAAAATACAAAAACAATATTAATACACAATAAATATAAAATTTTACATAGAACAGGTAGGAAATATATAATCAACCAGGACTGGTGCATTCTGTTTTGAGGTATGTAGAGAGGGATCTCTTAAAGGACTTTAGGCTTAGGGAAGATTTTAAATTGTGCTGGAGGTCATTCTACAATTGCGGCGCTTTGTAGGAGGAGGAGGATCGGGCTGCTTTCTTTTTGTATTGAGATAGACTAAGTAAAGAGTTGGTACTGGATCGGAGGTTATAGGAAGTGGGAACAGATGGGGAAAGCATTTTGTTCAGGTAGGGTGGGAGTTTCCCAGAGAAACTCTTAAACACAAGGCTGGAAAGATGAAGGGTGCGTCTGGATTCCAGCGACAGCCAGTTTAGTTCTTTTAGCATGTCACAATGGTGAGTCCTGTAATTACATTGTAGCACAAATCGGCAGAACGAGTTATACAATGTGTTGAGTTTATTAATGTGGGATTGCGATGCAGATGCATATACTACATCCTCATAATCAATGATTGGCATCAGCATTTGCTGTACAATCTTTTCCTTTACTGTAGGTCTTAGGCAGGATTTGTTTCTGTACAGGGCACCTAGTTTTGGATAAAGTTTAGATGCAAGTTTTTATATGTGCAGGCCAAAAGATAGATTGGGGTCTAACATCATACCCAAGTATTTGAAAGAGTGGACTGCGGTCAGTGTGCCATTTCAATTTGTTTTGATGGATAGGTGGGAATTGTGTAATTTGTGTAATTTAGGTACTGTTCCAAAGATCATTGTGACAGTTTTGTCAGTGTTCAGGAAGAGTTTGTTTTTTGTGATCCACTTTTCTACCTCTGTAAACTGGTCTTGGAGCACAGCCTCAAGCTGCGGTAGATTGGATTTGCTCGTATAGATTACTGTGTCATCTGCGTACATGTGTACATTTGAGGATTTGCAGACATTAGGCAGATCATTTATAAATAATGTAAATAGTAGGGGGCTGAGAATGGAACCTTGGGGAACACCACACGTGACTGGGAGAGGGAGGGAGTCGCTGTCAGAAATGAAGACATATTGCGAGCGATCCGATACATACGATCGAAACCAGGTTGGCGAACGATCACCAATACCTGAGTTTTTGAGTTTGTGCAGAGGCCTTAGCAAAATCAAGGAAAATAGCTCCAGTTAGGTCTCCTTGTTCCATGCCAGTTTGGATGTCATTGCAAACTTTTAAGAGGGCAGTTGTAGTGGAGTGATTCTGGCAAAAGCCCGATTGATCAGGGGTCAGATAGTATGATTGTTGGTAGTACTCACATAGTTGCGTATGGACACATTTTTCTAAGATTTTTGACAATACCGGGAGCAATGATATTGGGCGATAGTTAGAAACCAAAGTAGTGTCACCACTTTTATGGATAGGCACTACTCTCACAGTCTTCAGAATCTGTTGTTCTTCTGATTATGCAATGTTTAGAATGCCACAACTTATTTGCTTTACATCAAGCAAAAAAAACTAAAGACAGTGAGATTTAAAATGGCATTGTCACTTTTTGGATCTTAAAATATTTTTCAAAGACCCTCCAAGGTGACCAATTTGCTTGTGTGTTGGTGGCTGGGGGTTGAGCAGCTAGGGATAGAAACATGTGACAGCAGATAAGAACTATTCGGCCCATCTAGTCTGCCCAAATTGCAGATATAAACTTTCCTTAAATTCTGCCTCCTCTATGCCACTATCTTCCCAATGCCATGCTTGCTCAACTCCTGAGGACGTCACCAGGAACTGTTATCACCACCGCACTTTCCCACACGTGAAAAATGGTGAGACGAGGCAGCGGAAACTCCACCATTGCCAAAGATCGGCAGTCTCAATTTTTCCTCATGTATATCTTTGACAATATTGGGATTCCCTGACATAGGATACATTATATATAAATTTAAAAATCAGTAACTTACAATGTCCGCCTCCCATTCCTCCATAGTGGTTAGATACAGCAATTAAATTGTAGCAACAAGGACCAGCATTTGGATTAATGAGGAATTTTGACATGTCTAAGTCACTGTTGGAAGAAACAAAAAAAAGAAAACACTTAAAATTACTTCATTTTAAAGGTTAGTTTTAATGTGTGTGTAAACAGGAAGTCTGCTCCTCATTCACAATAAATAAACAACTACAGAAAATATTAAATTACCTTTACAAAATAAAACTTCATTTATTTTGTTGGACTCATAAAGTTAGAGAGAAGAGGTACTACCATTTATTCTGTAACCTGTCCTACAGTGTAGGAATCCAAGGTTACATAGTTTACCTACAATTCAATTTGTTACGGAGCCAATAATTCTGAGAAGGACTACACCATTTAGTGAACATATTCCATGTTCTTTTCTTTTAACTCCCATGTGGTTGAAAAGATTTCAAAATCCCCAGCACTCGTCTGGTTAGGAACCATAAGTATAGTAGGTGACCAAGAATCAATGTGCTAAGCTGTGAATCCATATTGATTTAATGGTCAATGTGATAGCTGCTGTTTAGATAATCTGACTGCCTCTTCCTATGTATATATTTTAGTTAGGAAATTGTTAGGAAATTACCCCACAATTAAGTTTTCCTAATTTGAGTCATTTCGGTTTCACTGAAATTCAGTTTTGATTGGTTCTTTTTTGTTTTTTCCCAATATGGATGACAGTAAATACTGTGAACAAAACAAACCTATTTGCAACAAATAATTTTAGCAGTGTTTCCTGCCACAATTACAGCCTGTAGAAAATAACCCCCCTGGAAAAGATTACAAAGGAACACATATCTTATTATTTTATATCAATCCCACTGCATTCCCATTCTCAATCCCCCACCCCAACAAACAGCAAAGAAAATCATATGGTTTATAGTAACAATTCTAGATAATCCTCTGTAGTAAATAAACTATAAATCTTACAGGAACTGCATATTTACACAATGTAGGAAGTAGACATTTTAAAGAAAAACAAAAAACATGTTCTGGTAATGGACATTTACAGGAAAAAAGTGACATATTGCATGATAATTGCAGATGTGATGAACTGTTAAATTAACCAATAAACTCTTATGGATTAATTATTTAATAATAAAATGATGTAGGTTATTTTACCTTACAGGAAAATCAACTAGGGTATCCAATTTATCTCTCATATATCTACTGTAGGAAAACCGCTTTAGGTGGACAACAAGGACTGGAGGTAAAGACCAAAGGTCTAATTTTTTGGTTGCTTGTTGATGCTCCTTACAGTTTGGGCAGTACCTAAGATGATAAATAAAACATTTTTATGTGATTAAAAAGTTTTTTTTTTTTTTTTTTTAACAATCTTAATTTTCACAGTGATTTTCGATAGTACAAGAAAGGAATAACATGAAATCACGTAATAACAACCATAACACAAAAATGATGCAAAAGGTATATCCCGTCGTATTTCACCTTTTAACATAAGAAGGCATTCAATCGTTCTCAGAATAATTTACTCTATCCCGTTATGCTAAATGGAAACTGTAAGAAAAATGGTAAAGTTCATTCATAAATGAATTGGGAAAAATATACGTTATATTACCATGAATCACATGACTCTATTTTGTGTCACATTTTGGAGTGGCTTGGTCACCAAAAATGTGTTTGTACTTCATAAAACTAGAATCTTTATGACATTCGCGTACTGACTGCTTTGAAATTTTATTCATATTATTACGCTTCTGCAAATTTAAAACACATCTACCTGTAGTCTCTTCAACATGCCTGCTATATCATACCTATCCGTTTGCTTCCTCACCTCCACAGCCCTTACCCCAACCACATACAGTTGAGTTATAGTTGAGTTTACAATTAACAGCTTGCTGAAGAAGGAGATAGGAGGAGGAATTTTCCCCTTTCTATATTACAGTTCGCAATTGCTACAAATTGCATTCTATCTTCTACCTTGAAAGGTTGATCAATGAACCCGAATCTTTTTTTAACCTAGATAACCATGTAACAAACTTTCACTCATAGTTCTTTACTACTGGAATGAGCTACTTTGTCACATCCAATCAGCAACCTCTCTCTATCTGTTCACAAACTCCTGAAGATATGCATTTTAACAAGGACCTTCCTTTACACTACATAAAATCAATCCCCTTACTGGTCCCTCACATCTGACCATAATCCCTTCCCATTATTTTCAGCTCTTTCCAATCAAATATCACCCAGACCTTTCCTTCCTACTTATGTCGCAATACCACCAGGGCCATATTTACCCTTGCAGCGCCAAGGCTTCCCAAATTTCCTCATTGCGTCTATCCATCTATCCATCATGCAGGCTGTTGGATAATATGTGAGACAGGGCTGGGAGTGTGTGTGTGTGTATGGAGGCGGCTTGTGGTCTTGTGTGTTTGTGGGGATGCATGTGTACGGCTGGCTGCTTGTTGTATCATATTTTGAGGATAGGCTGTTTATGGTGTGGCTTGTTACTAAAATGCTCCATTCCTTTTATTAATTTTGTAGCCCTCCTCTGCAAATTTTTCTAGTACCATAATATCCTTCTTTAGAACATCTGCCCAAAATTGCACAGCATATTAAAGATGTGGTCTTACCAGTGATTTATAAAAAGGCAACATTTTATTCCCATCCGTAGAATGCCCCAAAGTAAACATTGCAGTTTCTCAAAAACATTGAGATGAAGTGACCTGGGTGATCTATTATGCAGGCAGTAAGTAAGGGGACCCCAAGGTAAACAATTTGACTATTTACATTGTGTAGGTGACAGAGCACTCCTGTGACACTGACGAGTGATCTGGGGGTTATGGTACTTAGACTGTTACCTGATATATCGAATCACTTAATAAATTGCTCTTATACACACATAACATGTTTACAACCCATTCTTTATCTATTGAAAGTGACAATTCTAACAAATATCACAGAGAATATTTTTTTTGAAATCTAAGCAAGATCATCTTAATATTGTTTTTTGAGTTATTTCACTTACCATGGATCTTCAGCACCTAATTTTTCCTTGGTAGTAAAAAGCTCAATGCAATCTTTTAATTTCATAAAAGCCTTTTTCTGGGGAGTAAAATCCACACTTTCATGTTTTTCAAAATCCTAAAATGTTAATACAAATAATATTTAGCTAGAACAAACACAAAAAGATGAACTATAAACGTGTTGCTTAAAAAAAAAAAAAAAACTTAAAAACAAAACATTGAGGTTATTTGCTAAAATGAGAAATGTGAAAAAAAGGAATGCATATCCCAAACCATTAAAACTGGAAAAACAGATATAGTTCAGCTGGTATTGTTTCGCAGTTTGGATTACTGGCTTACAATACGTGGGTTCCCTTAGTAGTTCTTCCAAATTCTCAGGGAATAAATACAATTGTATATGGAATACAAATAGTTTTATAATATAAGAATCAGCTGAATTTCTTAAGCAGCTATTTTGGTCCAAACTTGTAATTCTTTTGTCAAGTGAATTCTCTTCAAAGTCAGGTTTAGTAAATACCAAAGTATTTGCAATGCTAACATGCCAACAGAATTTCTAAACAGTGTGGTTACATTATCAGGACAAGTCGTTATATATTTCTGTCTGAACTGGTCTACATATTCATTCTATGTGTTTTATAAACTGCAGGTTAGTTAAAGGATGGATGATTTGCTCCTTAATGGTGTACGTTTAATGCTGTTATTTCTACAAAAATAACAGTTCTCCTATACAGCCCTAACATATTTTGTAATACAATACACCAGGAAACAAAATGAAGAAATACATTGTGAAACATGAATTCAAGCAGATGAGGTCCCTGCACGCATGATCCCACAGTCTAACTTGCATACTGAATCTGCCAAAGTTTATTTCTACTCTAATATACACATCAGGAATATCAGTAGGGGAACAAACTATTGAGGATAGTGTTGAGAGAGTTTAGTTTAGCTGGTTAGTCAGCCAATAAATAGGAGGTTGAAGGTTTGGATCAGGTGAACCTTTCATTAGTTACTTTTTGTTTGATTTTTGTGTTTATATTTTCAAGTACAGTCTATAAATAACTGTTATATGCAATAAAACTATTTGGTAAATAAACACTCTCTTAATTGGATGTTTTCCCTTTATAAATACATTACTGTTAGATTACAGCCATGTAAAACAAAGGTTACTGACAGCAGTTTTTAGAGCTTCTTTTACTATTTTTTTCTTCTTCTTTGCATTTAATACAGTAAACTAAGGGTCGGCAAAAATTGCATTTTGTATTGTTTTGCATGGCACACAAAGCTGCCAACCCAAATGGGTCACATGAGGAGGTCAGAAGACCTTCCCAGCGAGCCTGGACTGCAAGTAAACCTGTGGTCTCAGCCTCAGAGGGTGCTCTTAGTAGTGAGTCAAATGTTGCCGTTGGTTACCAAGACCATACTTGATCATCTTACACTGGATTGGAGTAAGAGCCACTAGTGGTATGCAACCATGGAAGATGCACTGCAGAATACAATACCTCAGGCCCACCAGGTATTAGTAAGGATTACTGCACTCCTCTCGGGACAAGAGAAGAGAAGGCAAAACATATGTTTTTGGCGAATTTATTTTAGTAAAGAGCAACTCCATAACACCCCTGGAAACATTCCTCACAAACAATAAACACATAATACTATAGAGAGCACCCACACAAAATCTCCAAAACAGCATCCCCCATAAATTACACCATAGACATTCCACATATACACACACATAACAAACAGCCCCTATCACTATAAGCAACTCACATAACACAGCACACACTCAAAACCCCAGGCAGCTCACACAAATAAATATCACAACAGGCAGGTGACATACACAAACATCACAGACAGTCCAAACTACACACAAATACTGCAAGCAACTCACATACACATACTTATCAGAGGCAGCACACATACAAAACACATACTTCACACCTCAGGCAGAACACACAAAACAAGAGTCCACATGAAAAAATGGCACACACATGCATAAGGCAACAAGCAGCCTACACAATAATACAAAGAATATATACATAAACAACTTCACAAACAGCTCCTACCACAAACACACAATACCACAAACAACTCACGTTTACGCTACAAACCAACCCGACCACACACAGAATGAAAAATAACAATGCCATACACAACACTAGACACAGCCCACACTCACATAACTTCCCAGACATCCCACACACATACATAACAAACACAGTATATAGGGACTATACATACACACTTTTAAAAACTTCACTAAGGGTCTATTGCACCCATACAGAACAGCTACATTCCTCAACATAAATAATAATAAAGGTTACTTAAAAAAACAAAGACGTTTCCTATCGCTGCGCTAAACGTTAGCAATACATGTGTTAAATGAAGACACTCTCCGATGATTTCTTGTGATACTTTCATTAGAAAGCTAATGAAAGAATTGGAAAGGTGTTGGTGTACTCCCATAGAGAAGTAACCTCAAAATACGGCCCTGATTTTTGAAGAATCCAACTTTGTCAGTAAATATTTGGGAACCTACCTCTGCAGCATTTTCATCAAAATATTTTTTCTTTATTTTTGGATCCCAATCTAAGGCGAGGTATGATCTTTCTGAGATGAAAATCAATAGACTGTAATTAGACATTTTTGTTTTAACAAAAATAAAACCTCAAGTAACAAGTGCACACATTTTCAATGACAAAATAAACAATAAAAAAATAGGACAGAAAATCTCAATAAGACAATTTGGGATTTGAACTATCACAATAGTACGCTAGAAAGTAAAAACACATCTCCATGCCAAATAATGCAATTCTAAAATAAATCTTTCAATATTTAACACAGAACAGGTGATCTAGAAAATCTGAATACATTCATTCAATTGGTTGTTTACATACTAGGAAGCAGCATTTAGAGTACAAACTGAAAATAAAATGTATCTCACCATCCAGCCGGAGTTGCCGATCATCAAATCTAATGTATCTGGTATCATCCTTGATGTAGCTGATATCGGCATTGCCCAAAGTGGTAAAATGGAATGTAAACAGTCGTTTTTTTTGTCCTGTTAGTGATTGTCCTTTGCATGTTTCTTCAGTGCTAAGTCCGTTTTCGGAGTCATTATCTCCTCCAGCAGAGTCTTCTGATTGGCTATTTTCATTCTCTGAAGGAAGCTCTTGATCCTGGCTGGACTCGTCATCTGGCTCATCTGTTTCCATTTCACCTGGGGAAACATTAACAGTATTACCACCGGGTGGTTTATTTAGATGCCATCTCAGAGTAGGTTTAGGTCTCCACTGCCATATTCACTAGAATAACAAAATAAAGGAATCTTTTTATAAATACCATTATCATTTACGTTAACCAGTGTATGACAAAGTACAACAAAAGGGGCCAATGTCACATTTAAATTTACATCTGACTCTTGGTAATTAAATCAGTCACATATCTGGATTAGAAACAGGACGTCTCAAGCAAACTGCATTATGGAAATTATATAAATAGCTTAAGAGACATACTTACAAACACATGTTAAACCAATTCAGCATGATTTAGGTGGATGTAAAATGAATATGCATTTCAGACGAATCCCATACTTGTATGTTTAAAAGGACACTCTAAGTACCAAAACAACATTTGCCTAATGACGTGGTTTTGGTGTACAGATCATGCCCCTGTAGTGTCACTACTCAATCCTCTGCCATCTAGGAGTTAAAGCACTTTGTTTATGCAGCCTGTAACAGAACTGCCCGTACTCCGACCGAGTACCTTCCGTTGATGGACGCTTCCTAGCCTGCGCCGAGGAACACAAGCACCGCACTGGACACCACACCCACTGCAGACTCCACAACCGCCGTAGCTTAACTGGAGTCTCAACGTCTTCTGTCCACCCTGGATCGGCTTCTGTCCTCCAGGACCGTGTGGGGAAGACCTCTCCTCCAGGAGAGCGTATCAGGAACAAGCTCTTAAAAGAGCTAAGTGATTAAAGCTCAAGGGAGTATGCAGAGCACAGCAATCCCCAGTGTGATTATAGCAGTTCCCTCCAATAACGAGACGAGGCTACGTTTTGAAGGGTAAAGAAGAACTGACTGTACTGGCACATACAGCCTCTTTTATTCACATTCTACAAACATAGTACTGCCCACAGGGTTTTGAAGAACAACCAATCAACACATTACAACACAGCTAACACTCCCATTCATTACATCAGAAATCCTCCCCTCTGCCTGTGATACAATTATCTTAACACAATAGACTAACTTAATTATCACAGGCAGAAAAATAAAGTATTTTAAAACATATCACAGAGACCCCAAAACATGCAATAACCCCATAGAAAATGTACCGGGGGATCTGGGTGAACCACATATCCAAAATTCACCCAGATCCGTTCAGTAGTTTGGAAGATACGGTTTAATGCAGATTCTGCAGAACATATACAGGCTATATGACAAATAATTACTGTTAAATGTGTCCCCTGTTCTGTAGTTTAAAACTACTGAACGATGTCTTTGTGCACCAAATACTGGCGAGATGGCACCGTGTAGAAAAGTCAAAACAGTGTCTGTGAGTTAAAATGTCTGCCATCCATTGTTCTCACCATGTGCTTCATCCATTGTTCTCACCATGTGCCTCTGATACATGAAATGGTGGCCACCAAGTAACTCCACAGTATGTCCCCAGATGGTTCTTAAAGGGCCAGCAGCAGCATAATAAAATACAGTATGCCCAAATCAGTTCCTTAAAGGGCAATACATCCCAGGGCCATAGTCGCAGGGCAGGAGGCTGGCAAACAGGTCCCTCCAAAAACCAGTGGCGAAGTCACTTTCGCCCCCTGGTTGTGACTCACACAGGAACCCTACACAATTCCTGACAAATAGTTTAAAATTGTTTAGCCTACCTTATTACACAGTATGTTTCATTTTGAATTTTGTATCCCTTTTATTAATAAGCCTGCAATAGTCTCATGTGTGTGACTAAAGTTCAATTAACATAGCAGGCAATAATAACTTAAGTAAACACACTGTACAAATGTACATTTTATTCATGGACGCTGTATGAGCCTCAGCCAGGAGAGGTGTGACTAGGGCTACCATCATTTAACTTCTAAATGGCAGATAATTGAGCAGTTAAGACTGCTGGGACATGCTCTATAAACCAAAACTGCTTCATTAAGCTAAACTTCTTTTGGTGCTGAGAGTGTCCCATGAAACACTCTGCAAATATCAATTTTCTATACACATTACTTTGTTATATTAGTAACCTTCATTGTATTTGGACAATTTACATCTGTTTATTTTTAATGTGCATCACGCATTAAACAGTTATTGCTCCATTCTTTTATTCTTGGAGAAGTGTCAAGCACAATCCTTAAATGGTTAAAACATATCTATTGCCCAGTATGCATAATGCAGCAATAAATAAATAAATAAATGAATAAATAGAAAATGTGTACAAAATTCATTGATTTTTTTTTTTTAATGCAAAGTCTAGTGGACATAACTCTCTATCTTCTAATATAAGGTATATAAATATAGTTTTTCCCGGAACACCAGCTTCATGCGGTTTATTGGGTCAACATTTCAGTAAGACAAGACAAACTTTCGCCAGCACCCTTTTCCTAGTTTATGGAATATCATTGCACCAGGCACCAACAAAGGAAGTCCATGAGAGCACACATACATGGTACTGGTGTACTGCAAGCTACAACTTAACATTGTGCTCAGACTATCCTTAGATGTTTATGGAGACTGCTAAGGAGATCTATTTAGTAATATTACAACTCGGTCATTAACTATATAAATTACAGGAATGTCAAATGTTAATGATACTGCTAATGCTACGAATGCCTTGCTAAAGAATTTGAAGTTCAACTTCAGCTGTTAGGTTAAAGATAGAGCGACATCTAGTGGTTATTTTAGTTAGGACAGACAGCTTAGAGGTAGCATGTTATTTTAATGATGCATAAAAAACAGTCAAAGCAATTTGGTTACTAGATGCAGATACATGATATCTTGCTTGACACATCTTTGTTCCTGGAATTATTCATTAGAAAGCATTGATCTCACAAACTGGCCATCAAATTGTAATTACAGGGCATATTTAAAAAAAATAAAATAAATATCCCTACATGAGAATAAACGTGTCAATCTACATGAATGAAAGACTAATTTCTTTATTTGTGAATAGCACTCAAGAATTTTTAAAGGAACACTATAGGGTCAGGAACACAAACATATATTCCTGACCCTATAGTGTTAAAAACACCATCTAGCACCCCTGCTCCCCCTTGCCCTCTAAATATACTAAAATCTGATTTTTATTCCAGCCTGCTGCTGTTGGCTCTGCCGCTGACCTGCCTGCCAATAGGAAAGCATTGGATTGGCTGAGACTGTCAAGGAGGCAGATCAGGGGCAGAGCCAGCACAAGCCAAACCAAGGCCAATCAGCATCTCCTAATAGATATTCACTGAATCAATGCATCTATATGAGGAAAGTTCAGTGTCTCCATGCAGAGGGTGGAAACACTGAATGGCAGTGCTGCACCCTGTGCAGCACTTCACCAGGAAGCACCTCTAGTAGCCATCTGAAAAGTGGCCAGTGGAGGCATCCCAAGGCTGTAATGTAAACACTGCACTTACTCTGAAAAGACAGTGCTTACTGAAAAAAGCCTGGAGGGAATGATTATACTCACAAGAACTAATACAATAAGCTGTAGTTGTTCTGGTGACTATAGTGTCCCTTTAATGCTTGCCATACACATTGTTGGGAACAATGAACCAATTAAATCTGCAGTCATAAATTTGTCACATTTATACAGGAATGATACAAACAATCTCTTACTTGGAGATCCTTCTTCGTGGATACCATTTGGACCATTCCCGTTGACAGTATGTTCTTTATTGCAGTGTACAGGCCCTTCATTTTCTTCAATGTCACATGTTGATTTAACATAACGGCTGACATGGAAAACAAACAGAAACAAAAACAAACAAACTGTAATGACAGTTATGATATGAGCTCACAAGTATGTAAAGTTGCTTTCACTAATGGAACATACCTTAACAAATATATTTAAATTGGAATTCACCAAAAAATTTGAATATGTTAAAACAGATACTATTATTGTCTAGCAGTCATGTATTGGCTGTTACAGTGACATCCCAGCAACAAAAAATATAGGTTTAGGATATTTATAGGTATTTTCAGAAACTAGCAGGTCTAATTTAATCTATAATCTAATTTATAGCATATTACAGCCTTTGCTGGACACGCAGTAAACCATAAGAATTAGTCATGCCTGATAGTAGTCTATGGATCTGTACCATATGTTAGTACAGGCATACCCCGCTTTACATACACTCACTTTGAGTACACTTGCGAGTACAGACACACCTGTGAGTGTACGTAAAGGTGCCGCGCGTGAACAGGAAATGGATGGTTCTATTCTCGCCCGGAGCAGCTCAGTTCAGTGTATTTGGGGCAAGAACTTTTCACACCTTCTGACATGGCACAGGTTAATCATCTAAAATTTATAATGTCTACTCCTAACTGAACATATATATTTTTTTTCTGCCCCTAAATTGTCCATATTCTGGCACCATCCAGTGAAAGGGTTTACCCTGCCATTTTCAATAACTATGACTTAGCAGCTTAGCTGCATTAGCCACAACTCTGAGGATTCAAAGTTAAACCATAAATGCTTACAGTGATGAAGAGGTGTTTCTAAACATAGTGTGCAAATAAGCTGCTAACAAATACAAATCTGCACTGTATTGACAGAAAATGGCCCAGTGGGCAGGTTTATTTTACCTTTCTTCCTAATTTATATATTATTTTCCTACCAATGGTGTCTTCACTATGTATGAGGTTGTTTAAGGTTGCAAACATATACCATTTTTAATTATGCTTGCAATGAGGATACTGTAGTGGAGTAGTAGTATAATCCACGGTATCTCCGCTGGTAGTCAGGAATCAGCATACAAAATACAGGTAGCGTAAAGATAATCCCTTTTTCCCAAGAACTAGACAACACATAGTTTGGGAGTCAACTGAGCTTTTATTCCAATGTCACCATTTTTATACAAGTCGCCATGCAAGGGGTTTCCATACTGGCATTGCAGGGGTTTTCCCTTGGTGGACTCTGTAGAAAACTTAACCTGCAATCAGGGCTGGCCTTAGGGGTGTGCGAGCCATGGAGCAGGGGGGCCTGTTGTGTGTGTCTATGACTGTCTGCCTGTGTATATGACTGTGTGTGTGTGTATGACTGCCTGTGTGTGTGTATGACTGTGTGTGTGTCTGTGTGTATAACTGTCTGCCTCTGTGTGTGTGTGTTTCTGTGTGTATGACTGTCTGCCTGTGTGTGTGTGACTGTCTGCCTGTGTGTTTGTCTCTGTGTGTGTGCATGACTGCCTGTGTGTGTGTATGACTGTCTGCCTGTGTGTGTGTCTGTGTGTGTGTGTGACTGTCTGCCTGTGTGTGTGTGTTTGGCTGTCTGCCTGTGTGTGTGACTGACTGCCCTGTGTGTGCCTGTGTGTGTGTATGACTGACCCGCCTGTGTGTGTGTGACTGTTCTGTGTGTGTATCTGCCTGTGTGTGTGTGACTGTCTGCCTGTGTGTGTGTATGACTGTCTGCCTGTGTGTGTGTATGACTGTCTGCCTGTGTGTGTGTGTGCTATGACTTTCTGCCTGTGTGTTTGTCTCTGTGTGTGTGCATGACTGCCTGTGTGTGTGTATGACTGTCTGCCTGTGTGTGTGTCTGTGTGTGTGTGTGTGACTGTCTGCCTGTGTGTGTGTGTTTGGCTGTTTGCCTGTGTGTGTGACTGACTGCCTCTGTGTGTGTGGATGTCTGACTCTGTGTGTGTGGCTGTCTGACTCTGTGTGTGTGGCTGTCTGCCTGTGTGTATATGTGTGGCTGTCTGCCTGTGTGTATGTGTGTAGCTGTCTGCCTGTGTGTATGTGTGTAGCTGTCTGCATGTAAGTGTGTGTGAGTGTGGCTGTCTGCCTGTGTGTATGTGTGTGGCTGTCTGCATGTAAGTGTGTGTGTGTGTAAAACTATATGTGTGGCTGCCTGTGTGTGTGTGGCTGTCTGCCTGTAATTGTGTGTGAGTGTGTTTATCTACCTGTAACTGTGTATGTGTCTGCCTGTACCTGTGTATGTGACTATCTGCCTGCGACTGTGTGCATGTGGTGGATTTGACAGTGTATCTGTATAACTGTGTGCATCTGACTGTGTGCACATAACTCTGCAAAAATATACACCTGCATTCACACACAGACTTAAATGCATGTTTTTATCTGAATTAAATAACCATCACACACAGCCAATAAACCCAGCACAGATATCACATACAACCAATACACGCATATCGCACACTGTTAATACACCCATTAAAAATATCACACACAGCCAACACACTGCATACATACCACACACAGTCATCACACCTACTATCAAATACACAGACAACACAAACATTACATCATACATGGATGATGGGGGGGGCGCTGTGAAGATTTTTCGCACAGGGCGCCTAAAGGCCTAAGGCCGGCCCTGCCTGCAATGCTATTTCCCATCATGCATTGCTGTCTCGCAGGAATTTATCGTACTGCATTCTATGTTTGTGTGGGATGTGCTGGTCCCTCAGGGTATGGGACTTATTTGAGCCCTGACTGGTAATCACGTACTTTTGTGGCATACAAGCAGTCGCCCGAGTTTCGTTCGGTGATCCGTATGGCCAGGATCAGGGATAGTAAAAATAGATGGGGCCCCCCCAGGGGATGGCGGTGTGGATATCTCCAGTCGGGGCATGCCTAGGGTATAGGTGCCGACCCCTTGAGTGTGAGGTGGCTTGGTAGAGTCATTGTCTTAGTAGTAGAGTTTGTCTGCGAACCAGTCACCTGTTGTGATCAGTAACCAGTGTGCCCATATAGCTAAGTAGTGTTGTGTCTTGTCAGAGGATTTCACACTATTAAATATTTTAATCAATAGTCTAAGGGACTGAAATATTAATTATTTAATTGGTTCATTAAACAATAGTTTAAAGGAAAAACAGAATCAACATTGTAAATTTGGGACAACTGGCCAACAGAGAAATGCTCAGGTTTAATTTTTTATAAATAAGTCACAATATGCAATCCTAGGAAGATGCAACATTGCACCTTGTTTACTTCTATTGTTGTTTAAAGTTTGCATTATAATGTTTTGCTTGAGATGAGCCCCCAAGTAAAACAAGGAAACTTTATTTCAAATAATTTTTGTTTTTTTGGTCTTTAAAATACATACCACATTCTAACTAAAAGTAGGTTGTACAGCTTGTCTTCAGAAATATTTCTAGGCACAGTCAGTAGAAAGGGTTGGCCAAAAAGGGTAGAACTGTGGTGATGACTGTAACTGGTATGGCGGAACTTCTCTCGTAAATAAACAGGGATTATGACTTGTTCTGTCTCTTCTGTTCGATTAATAGATGTTTCAAACCTAATGTTGAAAAATAAATATGTGAAAAACTAAACAAAGCTACTAAGTTTTAGAACAATAATAATGAAAACAGGTAGCCACAAAAGAGAAAACAGAGCTCTCTTTTCAATGACTAAAGCATTACAGATATATTTTAAAAAGTACAGGCATTTGGTAAATATTAATCTTACATTGTTAGCTACATGTATAACAGAAGAAAAGCAAAAAAAAAATATCTGCCACATTTCATCAATAATAATATCATATATACTTACTGACAATTGAACTGAAGGTTAATGGTGATAGAAAACTTACACATAAATGTCATCTCGTTCCATAATGCTACTTAAATTCTCATCCATGGCAAATATTCTGTGAAATCTATGGTTGTAAATATCGGTAACAACCATCTAAATAATAAGGAAATAAAATAAACAGATTAATAACAATAAACCAAAACAATATATAAATAAAAATAAATACATGCATACATTTAAAAAATAAATCTATAATAATCACCTTTTCTGGAGGAATATCAGACAATGAAGAAAGGGCAGTGCAAAGGTCCATCATGTTTCCAATCTTTGGAACGATTACCTTATACTAAGATAAAATAAATAAAATGAATTAGAAGAAAAAAGGTATTTATCAAAGAATCTCACACCAGAATCCATACTAAAACACACATACACTTTTCATTAGAATCAATGTGACTTTTGTCTCTGCCTTACTAGATGTAAACAATGCTGGGGAGTCAAATTCAAGACAAATTGCAATAACTTGCTTGGGGCTCCATTTAATATTAGAAATATGGTGACAACAATCCAGATTTTAGCAAAGTAGTTTAGTTTTATTTAAGCTCCTGTAGTTAGAGTGTTCTAATGTCTTTCTAAATAATGCAGCTGGCTAACACATTTTACCTTGAAAAAACAAACAAGTAGAGGTGCATGAAAGGTAAAGCTTTGCTTCACCTTAACACAATAAAGATACTGCTTTCTAATAAGTGGTTTCATACTATCAACTATTCTTTTATGTTACATATGTTTATTGTAAATGTTATGTGTTGTGTTTTAAAAAGGATCACTGCCATATATGATTCATATTATTCTAATAACCAATTTAAATGTGAGCAATGATAATTATTTTCCTGAAAAGTAAGCCCATGTTCATTCAAATTGGCAGGTCAACATTTTCAAACACACACTTAAAGGAACACTATAGACACCCAGACCACTTCAGTCCATCGAAGTGGCATGGGTGCAGTGTCCCAGTCCCCCTTAGTCCTGTAATGTAAATCATTGCAACAATTACATTGCAGGACTAAGATTGCCTCTAGTGGTTTTCAGAGAGCCACTAGAGACACTTCATGGTGAATAACCGACATTTGGTCGCCTGATGCTAGAAGTCCTCACGCTCTGCATGAGGACATCCAGAGTCGGTAAAATCCCCATAGGAAAGCACTGGAGCAGGGAGATTGTAGCTGAAATCGGGTAAGTATTAAAAAGTCTTTTTTTTTGTTTTTTTTATCCCTTTCCATGCCGGGAGTGGGGTCTGGGCCAGAGGGCTCTATAATGTGAGGAATACAACTTTTATTATATTTTTTATATAGAATCCTTTTAAACCATTGCCATGGAGTTACAGCTTCTACAAATGTAATCGAAAACAAGTACTATTCTATTGCAAATTGTTAAATAACGACCATTCACTATGGTAACAGACAGAAGCTTCCAATATTTAGCACCTTGAATGAGACTGGTTTTGCCTTGCTTAAATGTCCCCCAATTTGGAATTATATATTAGACGACTGCTTGCAACATTATTGACTAATTGTGAGTCAATATCACTATAACTATCCTCATTACAAACATAATAAAAAATGGTATATGTTTGCACCCTTAAACAACCTCACACATTGTGAAGACACCATTGGTAGCAAAATAATATTTAACTGGTCAGGTGACATCAATAAATGTAAAGCATTGCTCACAATTTAATTACATTGAAATGAAAACTATATTAAAACTGTAGGCATCAAACCAAAAATAGAAGAATACAAGAACAGTGAGCGGGCTATACTTACCTGCATAGGTTTGGAAAGTGGATCCATTCTAACTAAATATACTTCCAGACTGCGCTCCTTCTTCATCGGTAGAGGAAGAGTTAAGTAACAAAACGGATCAAACGTGACAGATATTTTAGCACACTCCGGACATACGAGGGTAGATTTAAACAACCCATGAAATATATCAACAATGATGGAGTCATTTCTTTTTATATGGTTCTCCCACGCTTCTTCAGCAACTACCTAAAATGTAATAAAGAACAAAAAAAAAATATAAAGGAATATAAAGGAAAAATCTTTTTTTTTTTTTAATTTTAAAAACCACACTTGAAATGTTTGATGCTGAGAGTATATTCTTCCCAAATGAGCTCTCACAGTCGATAAATAAAGATATACCGATAATGTAAGTGGGACTTCAACATGCTGCATAGAGAGACACAAAAAATAGGCAAATATATAATAAAATGGCAAGACTGGCCCAAGTGCATAGTAAAGTAAGGATATGTTTGTTCTAGCTCACCATCTATACGTAAACCCTATATTTGTGATACGTTTTTCTTTTTCTTAGCTACACCCAGAGTTTTAGGTTATAATTAAAAGAGGATAATGAGTTGTCAAAGTCTAAAAGAGACAAACTTCACACACTCCTCTGACATCCATCCATTAGTTTTACACATTTTCATCATCTTGGATTGGTATCAACTAATAAATACAACGACAAAAAAGATAGCACTGTGTTCACCACCACAATATATGGGAGTCTTTATATTTTGGCAGTATTTTAGTGGTATCTGCAATTGTACTCAAGAGAAAAAAAAAAAAACAGAAAACTGAAAATTTGATAACATTTAGGGTTTGACAAACATCATTACAATGTCCTTATATTCATGATTCCTTTCTTAACCCCTTCACTATAAATCACTTCTGCAGATGCTGGATGCATGTCACCGACCACATAGGACTCTCAGCGCCTGGCAGAGACCCAGGTAGGAGACTGTTGATAAACTGTTTACCCCATTAGCAGGAAATGGGGCCAAGCTAATCCTCATATAATAACCAATTCAGTGCCTTTAAATTAGTGGAACTGGTTCCTGGCAGTGAAAACCATTTCTGTACAGGCTGCTAATTATAATCTGGAGTATAGGCTGTTAAATATTATACCTGGAGAATAAATGAAGGTGAAGTAAAGCATTTCACAGAAATATTTTTTTAAAGCAGTAGTATGAGAACTACCTTGTCTGGTCTGCCATCTGCGTCTTTCAATTGGATATAAGGCTTCTTTCGAATTCGGTTTAAATCTTCGTGTAAGCCATCTAACAGGAAAGCAAGCAATTCTTGACAATCTTGCTGCTGATAACCCGAAAACTGAGGTGCAAATCTCCCAACTTGTGTCTTGAAAAAGGAACATACAAAAAGAGTTTTGTTTTTAATATACCGTATTACTAAAATTCTAATTCTAATTAATGGCTGTACACATTCACAGAAAACAAGGGTTTTAGAAATATATTATGGGAAAGATCAATAATATTGATAATACATGTTTAAATTCATTTTAAAAATAAGTTAAGCTATATTGCTTCATTTACTCAAAAGGTCTTAAAAATGCACACTGTAAAAATGCTGTACATATACAATAACATTCAAACGTTAAAGGACCACTGTAGTCACCCAGACCACTTCAGCTCAATGAAGTGGTCTGGGTGCCAGGTCCCCCAGGTTTTAACACTGCAGCTGTAAACATAGCAGTTTCAGAGAAACTGCTATGTTTACATAGCAGGGTTAATCCAGCCTCTAGTGGCTGTCTTCCTGACAGTCGCTACAGGCACTTCTGTGAAGCTCAATGCGAAAATCGCATTGAGCACGCAGAACATCCATAGGAAAGCATTGAGCCGGAGGGAGGGTCATGAGGGTTATATAGTGCCAGGAAAACTAGTTTGTTTTCCTGACACTATAGTGGTTCTTTAACATATTATAACAATGCTGAAATACAAGTACTACCCACCTTAAATGCTCGCGGGGTTACATAGCTATATTTCCCTGACCACATTTGTTTGATGAGATCTGCATAAGACTTGGCTATTTCTCCTCGCATCCCTAAAGGGTTATCCAAATTCAGCTCTTCCTGATATTTGTCATTGAGAAAGTATTCAGTCAGTGGTGGGGTATTGCTCAAACACTAGAAGAAAAGAAAATACTTCAACATTTTAATACGATTAAGTTTTTTTTATATGGTTAACAGACTGGCAAAATGAATGTATTAATGCTACATGCATTTAAAGACACATATATTGTATATCATGTGTGTCACAGAATACTTTAACAAGATTCTGCTGCTTCCAAAACCCACTGTAACACATAACACATTTCAGCATTGTATTTGTAAGCTTTCAATTGTGCAAAGAACCGATGAAACTTTACTCACTGCTCAATTTAAACAAAAAAAAAATAGCTTGGCAAAAAAATATGAAACAGCAGAAATATTAACTTTTCTTATGCAATTTCTTTTCACATGACCACACAAAATACTAAACATCGGCAAAGAGGAACTATTTTCTTCATTCTAGCTATGACCTATATAATTACTGCTTAAAGTAAAGTGAGATGGACAGTATGCATATCAAGAGAGCTCCAAAGCACAAGGAGCCGATCAATCATTGGCTGACAAAACTCACCAATGAATGAGCCTCTGTGCAATGAAATATGAACAGAATTGAAATTAGCTAACCTAGAACTCTTGTTCTGGGCTGGCTAATGATGTACAAATTATGCTGCCAGAGGTGGAGTTACACTGACAACCGCAATATAAAATATGTCTATATGTGCAGTGTTTCATACTGAAATGCTGCAGATACAAACTCCAAGCTCCATTTCACTGAAGTTTTTGTGGTGCTTGGAGTAACCCTTGAAACACTCATGCTTTGAAGCTGTGCAGTCAGTACAATGAAACATTTACAGGTTTACAAAAGGAATAACGTGCCTTCAGATATGAAAAGGGGCAAATAGAGAACATTTTAGGATTAACATGTCTGATTTATAATATACTAGCAGACAAATAGGAGTGAATGTTATGTTTATAATAGAGTGATCAGTGTGAACATGTATAAAGTTTCAGTTTAAACATTGTTACACATGTTCCAAATCTATGGTAATTATCAGGAAAACAAAATAGGAAAACTTCTGTTTACTGTATTTGGAAATTAAGCAAAGGCTCCAAGTGCCATACCCACTTAAGAGACATTGTAGCAGTTAAAGGGACACAGTAGGCACCCAGACCACTTCAGCTAATTGAAGTAGTCTGGGTGCTGTGACCCTTTTGCACTTAGTGCTGCAATGTTAAACATTGCAGTTCCAGAGAACTGCAATGTTTACATTGCAGCTCTAGGTCTGCCCTCAGTGTCTGTCTAACAGACAGCCATTAGAGGGCTTCCAGAATTCAAATGGACTTTTGGTCCGTTATCTGACGCTGGAAGTCCTCACGGACCTCCAGCGTCAGATTTTCCCCATAGGAAAGCAGTGAATAATGCTTTCCTATAGGGAGGTCTAAAGTGCATGCAGCCATTGCCACACATGCGCATTAGGTCTCCCCAGCCGGCTGATGTTGGCAGGAGAAGCATGGGCGGAGCCTGACCCAGCGCCGAGGGACATCGGCACTGGATTCAGGTGAGTGGCTGAATGGGTTTTAAGCCCTTCAACCCCACGGGAGAGGAGCCCCGAGAAAGGGGGGGACCTATAAACTCTATAGTGCCAGGAAAACGACTTTGTTTTCCTGGCACTATAGGATCCCTTTAATGCCTTTGTATGTATATTTTTCTTTTAGCTTACTCTTAAAAAGGAATAGTAATAGTAATACTCTCAAAGTAATTTGCAGTTTCAAAAACGTAAAGGAAGAATAAATAATCTCTCTAGTAGCTACAATAATCTTTTTAAAATACTCACCAAACATTCTGCAGCCTATTAAAAATAAACAATAGCAGTTGTATACCTATTTGACATAATACTCATAAAATATACAATTATTTTTAAAACAGACAGGCATGTTGCTGTGAATTTGAGATGGATGAGCAAATATTTGTTACATTTGGAATTTGAGCTAACTATGAGGACAATAATGAAAGAAAAACATGCCTACACAAAGAAGCACATGTGTTTGAACAGAGCATTACAGCATTTTGTTTTTAATATTGCTTCTAGAGATGAACAATTTGTTTTAAATTTGAACCTATTGGTTAAAATGACTTAGGAATACTATGTGAGCCAGAGGGTTGTGCAGACTGAATATTCACTTAAAGGGACACTATAGTCACCCAGACCACTTCAGCTCCATGAAGTGGTCTGGGTGTCAGGTTCCCCAGGCTTTAACCCTTCAGATGTAAACATAGCAGTTTCAGAGAAACTGCTATGTTTACATTGCAGGGTTAATCCAACCTCTAGTGGCTGTCTTCCTGACAGCCGCTAGAGGTGCTTCCCCGATGCTGGATGCGAAAATTGAGAAATGCTTTCCTATGAACTGTTTGAAGGCACGCGGCTCTTGCCGCGCATGCACAATCCGCTCCACTCGGGAGCTGACGTCCGCGGGGGAGGAGAGGTCACCAGAGCCGAGGGAGCCTGGCGCTGGATTAAGGTAAGTAGCTGAAGGGGTTTTAGCCCCTTCAGCGCCAAGGGAGGGGGACCCTGAGGGTGGGGGGTCCTAAGGATGCTATAGTGTCAGGAAAACGAGTTTGTTTTCCTGACATTATAGTGATCCTTTAAGATAAACAACTGGCAAACACACAACTAATCATTATCATCACACATTTAGTGGAAGCAAAAGGCTTTAGGATAAAAATGCTTAACCAAATTCGATTAAAAACAAAAGCCAAAAACAGAAAACAGACCCTTTCCCCCACCTCCCAAAATAATAAAAACACTATAGTAACATTATAGTTTGCAATCTTCAACTTTATAAAGTAGTAAATCCCTGATCTTAGCACAACCCAAATGCTAACAGACAGATACCCATTGGTTGTGCTATTTTCTTTTTTTATATTATACAGCAAATTTCACCAATAATGCAGTGAGGATGCATGCATATGTTAAGGGCCATGTACAGCTTGTACCTGCACTCGTTTGTCACTTTCCAAGTAGATGCCTGAGTGAGGGTTCCTGCAGAGCGTTATGGAAAAGCTGGAAAGGTAAGTGTGTTTTATACTTACCTCTGCTTCACTCCTTGTCCCGATATAAGATTAAAGGATCACTATAGTGACAGGAAAACATACTCGTTTTCCTGGCACTATAGTGCCCTGAGGGTGCCCCCACCCTCAGGGTCCCCCTCCCGCCCGGCTCTGGAAAGGGGAAAGGGGTAAAAACTTACCTTTTTCCAGCGCTGGAGGGAGAGCTCTCCTCCTCCGATCCTCCTTCTCTCCTCCCCGTCGGCTGAATGCGACGAATGAGACAGCCACTAGAGGAAATAGGGGAAGGCTTAACCCATTCATAAACATAGCAGTTTCTCTGAAACTGCTATGTTTATGAAAAAAGGGGTTAAACCTAGCTGGACCTGGCACCCAGACCACTTCATTAAGCTGAAGTGGTCTGGGTGCCTAGAGTGGTCCTTTAAAGTGTTTATCAGAGTGAAAGATTGAACAACTATAGAAACCAACACCGATAATAATAATAATAAAAAAAACTTGACCAATAGATGCGAAAACATCCTTTAACATAATAAAAAAAAAAATAATAGTAAAAAACCCCTACTTTAATCTCACAAATATTAACTATATAGGCACATAATATACATTAAAATATAAAAATGTATTCATATAAACAGCAGGTCAAATGAATAAATAATTCATTTTTAAATAAAAAATATTGCTTGATTTGTTACCTGAATTGCAGAATTCATAAAACACGTATTCCCCAGATTACTGAGCCCACACAGTCCTGGCTGTTCGTTGTGTCTTCCTGGCTCTGAGTATTCATAGTTCTTGTAAGCAGCATATGAAGGAAGGCAGTAGTTTGAGTTTTTCACACTGAAAGTGAAACATAAAAACATGGTCAGTCTTCGAGCAATCAATATAAGCATTGCCAGCAAGCATTTCCAAGCCTATTTTCATTATTACACTACCAGTGCCTTCGTACCATGGGCTCAGATGGACAGGCACATAGGGCACACTGTTTTCCATTGAGATCTCAGATGTGAATGATTCAGTCTTAAAACACCAGCAAAAGATCATTTAACGTGTTAAAATAGTGCAATGAAACAGCAAGTTATGTTACAGGTAAGAATGCTAAATTCCCAAGGACATAGATACATTGCAAATCCAATGCAATAAAGAAAAAAAATCAAATGCAAAAAAAAACTATTTATGGTTATTTAACAAGGACAGTTTGATTGTACATTCAAAAGCTGAAAACAAAGCAGAGAAGGGCAAAAAAAAAAAAAGACTTCCATTTTGGTATACTGCTACATCAATAGAAATGCACTTTTGAATATTTAGAATTAATTAATGTTTGTTGAATAGAAGTGTTGGTCATCCTTGACTAAGAATAATGCGTGCAGTTTAATAAATATTAAAACAAGACACAAAATTACCAAATGAGTTAGTTATAAACTAGATGTAAAAATTGCATAATTGCGGACAATCTATTATAAACATAGCCCCATATTCTCTTTTTTGACAATCATTATTTTGTCAGTATTCAACAGGTTACAACTTTTCATTTCCACTTTCTTACAGTTCGTATAGAAAGGCAGTAAATATCATAAAATGTATGGTTAGAGGATCACAAAATGCGGACAAAGCATAGTAAACGAGTATTTTATATTGCATCTTTAGAGGAAGCCTATACCTTCCCTTCTCTTTTTCGATGTTTCCCCTTCTCTTTCCCATTTACTGTCTCTTTCATATGTTCCCCTTCTCATTCCCTCCTCATTATTCCTTTCCCTTCGTCATCGCTCTTCATTTAAAGTTTTGTAAACTTGGGCAGTGATATACTGTCGTTTTATGTCTATCGGGGGAGATATTGTGGTTTTTGTTTGTGGTGGTCCCCTGTCATGTCTGTAAGCAGCCATTGGTTAGTGCTATTGACTGATTCATAAATGTATTAATGAGACTAGGTTACTGTGTGGTCGTTAGTGCCGATTAATAGGGCCTACGGTATCTTGTTTTATCGGTTGGATGATTATATGTGTATTAAGGTAGGGTGAAGTGGTGGAAGAAGGGGGAAGGAGGTAGGAGTATGAGGGTGAGAGAGAGGGAGAAGAAAAAATAAATAAATAAAAACTTTACTATTCTATTTATATAAATCGTAGATCATGAGGTTCCAGTAATTGCCTAGGTAAGTTCTTGTCTAACTGTTGCAAGGGTGTATAGGCGCTGGAGCAGTCGCAGTAGCTCTGAAATTAAGATGAGCCATGGTATCCAGGTCTGGACACATTTCTCAATGCGGCCCCACAGGGAAGCTGTCAGTGTTTCCATTGAATGTACATCCTCTACCTTTGCTATTCACTGCCGGAAGGTATGATCTGGAATAGATATAAAATGCGTGGCATGACGTTCATCTTGGCTGCATTAATGTATGTAGAAGGAGAAAATTAATTTGGTACAGTAGGGAGAGGTCTCATGGTCACCGGATGCCTAAGTATCTAAGTTTACTTTCGCACCATGCGAAGGGGAAGTGTGAGCACAGACAGGCGGTGGAGTTGGGGTTAAGTGAGAGATGGAGTGCCTGATTTGTCCATATGAAGTTTTACATTAGATATCAGTCCGAACCGCTTAAAGGCTGCCAAAAGATTGGGCAGGGATATTGCTGGCTGTTCTAGAAAAAAAGAGCATGTCGTCTGCGACCCGCTGTCCCAAAGTGAACCCTGTGATACCTCCATCCCGTCTGATCGCCTCTAGAAACGGCTGGAGATAGTGCAAACAGGAGGGGGGACAGAGGACAGCCTTGGCGTATTCAGTTCCAGATTGGGGGCGTAAACACAACGTTGACGTGGATTCAGGCTGTAGGGGTGGTATACAGGGATCGTTTCCTTGAGAGCATGTGGGGGCCAAACTCCATGTGTTGGAGTGTGGACGTGAGGTAGAGCCAGTCTACCCGGTCAACCGCTTTTTTGGCGTCAGTGGAGAGACATGTTAAGGGCTCTAATGGTGTTGTCCCGTCCCTCCCGACCTGGGATAAATCCCACCTGGTCGGAGTGGATCAGACCTTGGAGGACTCAAGAGTCGTAGGGCCATGGCTTTTGCAAACGGTTTTAAGTTCACATTCAGGAGTGAGATAGGGCACAGCTTGCTGGGTCCTTGCCTTCTTTGGGTATAACTGTCACAACCTCGGCGAGGGAGTCCATCAGAAATTGTCGGTCTGAGTGGATAGAGTTAAGTCCCTTGAGGAGTTTAGGTAGCAAGACCTCCTGGAAGGTGTGCAGGTAAGTTAACAGTAGACTGTCGGGGCTTAGAAAGTTTTAGAGCTTCTGTCAGTTCTTCTATGGTTAGTGGCGGCTCTAGTTCCTCTAAAGCTTCGGGTGTTAGCTTCTTGAAAACAGTGTGGCCAAGGATTTCAGCGATTGAACAGTGTGGCCAAGGAATTCAGCGATTGAATGCTGCTGTTGCTGGGAGGCCTCAAACTGAAAGAGTATGTGGTTGCCCACAACAGCCTGGCAGATAAGCTCTAAGAGTTTGATGATACCCTGTTAGCTCACAGGCTTAAGTTGGCTGACAGGGAGGACAGGTCCAGGAGAAACAACCTACGCTTTAGAGGTATACCGGAATCGGTGACCAACGCGGAACTGAACAATTACCTTCTGGACCTGTTCAAAACTCTCACTCCTGAAATCCACCCCAAACAACTTATCATGGATAGAGCCCATGTATTTTCTCTGTTTTGTTTTCCCCTGTGAGGTATCCTCTATGATAGAGAGTTTCACCTCCACGACCCCCACTAGCTGTGCTACAGCCCTTGGTGGCGCACATAGGCTCACGCTCTCTGCCCTGTTGTTTCTATTCCTTTCTTCCCGGAATCCCTGGTTCTTCCTACCCTAGAACACTCTACTGTTCCTACCCATCTCCCAGCAGTTTGACGGATTCAGGTTGCTGTGAGGACGAGGTTTCCTCGTTCATTCCTTATGTTATTGGTGCATGCCTGGCCCCCTCAACCTAAGGCAGCGCAGTGGCCTCTGTGGGAGTCCCAAATACAAAGTATAGTAATACTTTGTATTTGGGACTCCCACAGAAGAGGCCACTCACTCCCGGTTCATACAATACATGAATGTAGATATATACTAGTATGAAAATAGTGACATACAACCGCCAATGTTAAGGGGTTAAACTCCCCAAGGGAAACGTGGATTGAAGCATGCGGTCGATATAGCATGCATTAAAAAAAAAAAAAAAAAAAGAATTCCAGCTATATTCAGGAAGATGTTTCCAACTCAATACCATGCCCTCTCTGACTCCAAAACTAAAGGGTTTTCCATCTTTATACATAGGGACACGGCATTTCAATTACAAAGGCGTTTTATTGACCCCCAGTTTTATTATCATTTAGTTTTTTTTAACAATGTCCAATACACACTGGTGTCGGCTTATTTCCTAAACGACAATTCCAGGGCCTTCCTTCGCAACCTGCCATGCAAAATATACGAATATTAACAAGGGGGGCTTGTCCTGTGTGGAGACTCATTTTATTTCTTCCCCCGCCCTAGATATGAAGGATGAAGGGTGCTCCACCCGGTAGACAGAGACTATTAATTTTACTTCAGGGCCCACTATACGTATACACGCCTTTTATGTGGACCAAACTACCTTGGCACAAATGTCTACATGCACAATTGGGAACATTCCTTGGTCAGATCACAGCCCAGTGTTTCTAGAACTATTTGACTAATTCCAATTTAAAGGTAAGTGTACTTGGAGGTTGAATGAGACATGCTGCAAGACAACTCCTTTATGGAACAAATGAAGAAAGACTTTACAGAGTACTTTCAAGGCTATTCCAACAAGGGCACCGCCGAAACAACTGTGTGGGGGCGGCTCATGAAACGGTAGTCAGAGGTTTCTTTATTAGGCGCTCAACATTCCTTAAAAGACATCATCAATCCAATCTCTTAGATTGCCACAAACAGATAGCAATAATCACAGCCCGTAATAAACTGGCGCCCCCACCTGGCCTAGCCTCTCAACTTAAAGCGCTATACCAAAGACTTAATGAACTTAATGCAACTAAGACCGCTTTTATTTTGCACAAAATGCATGCGACCTCCTACCATAATAGTGGAAAGGCTTCCTGATACTTAGCTTCTAGACAGAACAAAATTAGCCGCCTCTAGGATAGCATATATAATTGGTGCCAATGGAAAGAAAAAGCTCAATCCCCAAGCCATTACCCAGGAATTTGCATCATACTACTCAAAGCTGCATAACCTAGTGTCCGAGGCCAGTACACGCACTCCATTAAGCAGGGGTGCCCTTTGTCCCTCTGTGCTACGTGCTAGCCTTGGAACCCCTCCTGTGTGCGATTAGGGACCATCCCAGTATACATGGTATTGACTTTAAGGGCCGAGAAATAAAAATCAGTGCGTTCGCAGATGACATTTTATTCTATGTTGCTCGCCCTGAGGAATCTCTACCACATATATTAGCATTGATAAAGGAATATGGGGAGATGTCCTACTACTCCCATAACGCAAGAAAAGGCAGGCCTTGGGCATTCACCTCCCTCCCCAGGTACGGGAAGCTCTATGTAGAGACTACCCTTCGAATGGAGAAACAATGGCCTGAAATATTTGGGCTTGACGTTCACTAAAAAAGTAACAGACATTTTTCATGCTAATTATACCAGAGTAAGGAATGATTGTAAACAACTTTCACGGAAATGGGGTCCTCTATTCCTATCCTGGCCAGAACGTATAGTAGCCATCAAAATGGCTATAATTCTGAGACTCCAATATTTGTTCCGCACCCTTCCCCTTTCTTTGCCACAATCCTATTTCAAAGCTATACACCTTGACCTGCTTAGATTTGTCTGGAGGGCTAGCAGAGCTAGGGTATCAGAATATTGAAAGACCTGCTGAGGAAGGGGGGAATGGCGTTCCCAGATGTTAAATCTTACTACCACGCGGCAATACTGGCATTAATTTTACCACATTTCATCTAAGCCACAATGGGTTTCCTTAGAAAGCCAAACCCTTAAACCTTTTAATCATCCTGAGCTGATTTGGCTTCCTAAGGATTCCAGACCACACTTACCCCTGCTGCCGACGCAAATCAAGCTGGCCATACAGGTCTGGGAGGGAAACCGGTAAAAACTAGAAAGCTCAATCCCTTTGTCATTGGCGACCCCAATCAGGACCATAAACACAGCACTGGACATCATAAGCGCCATAGACCCCACAAACTGCCGCAGCTTGGTTGGGGTCTCAACGTCTTCCTCCCACCCTGGACTAAACTCTGATATCCAGGACCTTGTGGGAAAGACCTTGCTCCAAGAGAGTGTATCTGTGAAGCTCTTACAAGAGCTAGTAGTGATAGTTGTATAGCAGTTCCCTACAATAAGAGACAGAACTCTTGATTGAGGGTGAAGTAAGTCTGGTTTAATGGTAGCCACACTGGCCTTTTATGCAAGTCCCCAAGCAATGGATACACTCATAAGGAGCTTGTTGGGGACAGGGACACAAAGCTTACAAACCAATCAGAACAGTAATTAAATGTAAAACACCCCCATAACAAAAATACAATCTCTCCCCTCTGCCTGTGAGATAACTGAGTAAAGTACTGTATGTAACTCAATTATCTCCAGGCAGAAAAACCACATATTTTATAAAGTCCCAAAGTACAAAACACAACACATCCCCTGATAGCCCTGATTTGGGTGAACAACATATCCAAAAATCACCCAGATTAGAGCAGGGGTTCAGGAAATACCTGAAAGTCTCTTTTTGAACGACTGCACGCATGGTTTCATGCCCAAAGTTTCAGAGAACAGTGCCATTCTAAGCTGATCAGAAACAAAACGCAGGCGATGATGAAAGTCCAGTGGTGTTCGGGATTTTCTGTATCTGATTTTAGTTCCATGATATTCATGCCCAAAGCACGCTGCCTGCGTTCTTGCGAACAAGATGGCCGCCACCTCAAGGTTGTTCATAGGAATCGCGCCCACCAAGACGAACAATTAGAACACTGCGGTGAGAAACGTTCCAAGTTGTTAATACGTGTTAACAAGCTCCAGGGTCAAACAGAGCCTGTTTGAAGAATTTTAGCCAGGTCTATTGCAGGGGCCATAGTCACAGGGTAAAAGGCTGGCAAGTAGACCCCTCCAAAAACCAGTGGCGAGGTAATTTTTTTCCACAGTATGTGCATGTGCACTTCGATGCTCTGCTTGCTTGCGGAGAGAAAAGAAGCAAAACTGCTGGACTGTTTTAAATCCCCTCCACCTTTTTTTCTTTCTGTACCCCTTTCCTCTTACCATTTGATGAAAACATCAATAAAAACGTATAAATCCTAAAAAAAAACAAAAAAACTGATCCCACCCATAAGAGCAGTCCAGAACTGATATGCTGGGAAGTTCTCTCTGCACGAGAGATACAGCAACCCCAGATGATCAAGGTATCAGCTACACCTCACTGAAGAGGCCCAAAAAGACCAAAATGTTTGTCTGGGGTTGCTGTATCTCTTGTGCAGACAGAACTTCCCAGCATTTTGGTTCAGGACTGCCCTTATGAGTGAGATGCAACTAAGACCGCTTTTATTTTGCACAAAATGCATGTGACCTCCTACCATAATAGTGGAAAGGCTTCCTGATACTTAGCTTCTAGACAGAACAAAATTAGCTGCCTCTAGGATAGCATATATAACTGGAACTGGTTCTCTCTGTAACGGCACAAGTGAGCAAAAACGATTTTGAGACCTGATCGGGGATTTACCAAAGTGCAAGTTACGGAGTTCCTTTAAGCTTTTGTCCGAGTTCTCATATTCTCTGTTTCGGTCAAAAGATATATAGTCAACTTTTTCTAAAATGCATTACTAGGTTTTTATAAGTGTTATTTGTGGCAGAGCGCCTGGCACCCCGCCTGGGTGCCTCCGCCAATCGCTGCTTCCTAGTGCTTACCGAGTACCACAAGCACCGCACCAGACACAATCAGCACTGTAGTCCCCACTTCCAGCTTTACAGCTTGGTCGGGGTCTCGCTGTCCTCCACCCACCCTGGACCCAAGACCAGGATCCAGCTTCCAGTGGGTAAACCTCTCCTCCAAGAGAGTGCAGCAATACGCTCTTAAAAGAGCAAGTGATTATTATCCCAGGGGAGTATAGTGATATAGCAATCCCCAGAAGAGATACAGGTGTCCCCTCCACACAAGACAAGGCTCTATGTTGAGGGTGAAGAGGAGCTTTAATGGGTATACGAACACAAACTCCTAATCCGTTTGGTAAGCTCCGTATACCGAACCATATAAGTCCAAAAGGAACGAACAGTGCCTTTAACCAAGATTTATCACAGGGGACATAGTGCTGGGGCAGGAGGCTGGCAAGCAGGCTCCTCCAAAAGCACGTGGCAAGGTTCTGTTTTTTTAACTATACATTAATCAAGATCGGTTGCATACCATTGTGAAAGTAATGTTAGCAACCTATTTACTACTAGTATTGTATGAGGTTTACAAAAGGTTGCATTATAATGTATTACTAGATGTATTGTACAGGATACATTGGTGGTTTGTAAGTATTGGACAACAGTGATATAGATTATATCAAGAGACACAATACTATAATAATTTACAAGGCTGTATAAATATACTTTGCATTTAAAAAATATATATTTTACCACAATATAATAAGAGCATCAAAAAAGTGAGAACCTTAATTTCTAGTGGGGACAAATGGTTGCTACTTTGGAGTTTGCTGTACAAACAAAGACACCCCCCCGTAAAAAAAAAAAAAAAAAAACCCCCACCTAAAATACCTTTCCAGGGACTATAAATGTACGGAATAGCAGAAACTCACAGAGTTTTTCCATAATTAAAGGGACCCTCAAGTGCCAGGAAAACATATCAGTTTTCCTGGCACTGCAGGTTCCTGGAGTGCCCCTCTCCCTCCCACCCCGCCGACGAGGAGAGACATAGTGTGCATGCGCAGCAATTATTCAATGCTTTCCTATGGGGATTCCAGCAACGCTGGAGGTCCTCATGCATAGCATGAGGACGTCCAGCATCTTTTAAAACACTTTTCGTGTTTTAAGAAAACGGATGTCTCTCTAGTGGCTGTATGATAGACAGCCACTAGAGGAGGACTTAACCCTGCAAGGTAATTATTGTAGTTTATAAAAACTGCAATAATATCACTTGCAGGGTTAAGGGTGATGGGAGTTGGCATCCAGACCACTCCTTTGGGCAGAAGAGGTCTGGGTGCCTGGAGTGTCCTTTTAACACACATATAGTCATTTTAACCATGCCTATGAGCCAGTGACATCATCATCACAGAATAACAGAAATTTGAAAGAGGAAAAAAGGTGTGAAAAAACGAATCACAATTTCGGTCTACTAACTAAACTCTGTACAGGGTTATTCACTACAGGGAGAATTCAGGGTGAATTCAGAGTGAATTTCAAACTGAAGGTCAAAATTACCAAACTGGAAAATGCTTTCAGTCCAGCTGCTCTGGCCTTAAATTTTAAATTCTATTTGAATTCACATTGAATTCTCACTTTAGTGAATAACCCTGTTAATGTTAGATTTACTAAGCCACTAATTTGTCAGGCAAAAGCAGTTAGGCTACAGATATTTATGACTACACAACTCTAGGTGTTATTCGTCAATGCGAAAACTCTTGAAATTTTAAGCCATGCGTATTAAGTGTAAAAACAAATCATACTGCGGTTTGCAGAAGAATGCTGTGTTAATGTACACACACAGGCACACACTGCAGGACAGAGTGCTTACTTTCTGTTGTTGAAGCGGCTATAATTATTTGACAGAGGTGAAGTAGAAATCTTTGGTAAAGTTGCAATATGTGGTGCCCCAGGGGACCTTCAAAATATGAAAATGATACATTAGAGATAATGCTGAATTTACAAAATAGAATGAATGAAATTTAAACAAAAAAGATGAAGTTATAAAAAAATAATAATACACAACTGACAAATCTATCTGTATCTAAACACACACACATAAATACATGTAATTGTTGATGGTAAGAGGTATTTTCATGATTTAAAGAAGTGAATGGTCCACATGAAACTAGGAACAGACTTGCTCTGTATTACAGGCCCACCTATATTAAAAGGGTGACAACTTTTTAAAGGAACACTATAGTCACATAAATTACTTTAGCTAAATAAAGCAGTTTTAGTGTATAGATAATTCCCCTGCAATTTCACTGCTCAATTCACTGTCATTTAGGCGTTAAATCACTTTGTTTCTGTTTATGCAGCCCTAGCCACACCTCCCCTGGCTATGATTGACAGAGCCTGCATGAAAAAAAAAAAAAAAAAAAAACTGATGTAATTTAAACAGATGTAATTTAGATAATTGTATCTCAATCTCTAAATTGAACTTTAATCACATACAGGAGGCTCTTGCAGGGTCTAGCAAGCTATTTACATAGCAGGGGACAAGAAAATCTTAATTAAACAGAACTTGCAATAAAGAAAGCCTAAATATGGCTCTCTTTACAGGAAATGTTTATGGAAGGCTGTGCAAGTCACATGCAGGGAGGTGTGACTAGGGTTCATAAACACAGGGATTTAACTCCTAAATGGCAGAGGATTGAGCAGTGAGGCTGCATGGGGCATGTCCTATACACCAAAACTGCTTCATTAAGCTAAAGTTGTTCAGGTAACTATAGTGTCCCTTTAACATAGTTACTTCAGTTGCGTTATCACTACTACTAGGCATTAGGTATTACTAATACCATCAATAGATTTTTAACTGGTAAATAGCAAATCCCATGTTTCTGATGTCTGTACAGTATTTAGGTAAACACTAGCAAGACACTCCCCCTGCCACCAAATAAATCCACAACATTGGACTACTCTATTACATATTCATGTATACATTCGATAGGAGCGTATACAAATGCATGCACAATATATTTACTATAAGCACAAAAAAACTTTAGAATAATGAAGTTGTTTTGGTGCCCAATTCTCTGCCAAATAGGAGTTAAATTAGGCAGATCTAGCACACCTCTCCTGGAAAAGATTTAGACAGCCTTCCTACACACATCTGAAAAAGAGCTTAATTCATCTAGCTTCCCTTACTGCACTCTGTGTTTAATTTAGAATTTATTTCCTGCTCTGCTAATACCCTGCAGATGTCTCACGTGTGCTTAAAGTTCAATTAATGGAGCAGGAGATAACCTCTAAAATAAACACAATGTGCTGTAAGATTTGTTTGAAAATTATTTTTCTGTTCATGGCTTCTGAGAGTCAAAGCCAGAGGAGGAGTGGCTAGGGCTGTATGAGCACAAACAAAAGTGATTTAACTCCTGAATGGCAGAGAATTGAGTAGTGAGACAAAAGGAGCCTGATCTGCACGACCAAACTATTTCCTTAAGGTAATGTTGTTTTGGTTTGTAGAGTGAACCTTGAAGACTTGATTTTTTAAGGATTTCACACACAGCATGCAGAACATGGACAGAGATCATCATGTGCTGGATTGCAAGTGAGTTTTCAAGCTTTTTTTCGTTAAAATACAGGGGAGGGTCATTAATTTAAACAGAGAAAAGGAACATTAACATTAAAAATAAATCCATGGTTGCACAGGAAACAGTTTGTCTAATTCGTGGATAGAGCTACATCCAATGGATAATGATGGTGAAACAAAGATATAGGTGGTTTGACTTAAAAGAACACTATAGTCACCCTGACAACTTCATCTTAATGAAGTGGCCTGGTTGCACTGTCTGTGTCATCTTAACCCATTAATGTAAAACATTGTAATTTTTGTTTACATTCCAGGGTTAAATCCACCTTAAGTAGCTGTCAGTATGATAGTCACAAGATGCGCTTTCGTTTCACTGACCAGGCAAACTTAATCTCGTGACATGAAAGCCCCATTAGAAAAGCCACGAGTCAACGATTTCTTATGGGGAATTTTGAAAGTGCATGCCCCACATGTGCATTAGGTCTCCAATGCTCCTCTTAGAGGAGCATTAGATTGTACATCGGCAAAGGAAACCATGCCGTTGATGGAGGAGGAGCGGTAAGCAGTGCCGGTGGAGCTTCAAAACTGGAAAAAGGTGAGTAAATATTTATTTTAAATTTTTATTGCACGGAGGAGGTATTCCTAATTATATAGTGTTATTTTAAGGTTATGGCAGATGTCAGATAAGCTTGGCATTATCAACTGTTCTGCATGGACTCCCCATTTAGTTGTCTTTAATTGTTGCAATGGTCACAAAGAAGAAAAATGTATCAAAGAAGAAAAATGAATAACCTCATGTGGATGTAGGCTCTTAACAGTGATGCTGTTCTAAACCAGCACAACAAGGAATTCAATGGCAGCAAGCACCCTATAAACATATCTTCCTCTTTTGGAGATGTTCATTTAGGGTATCTCATAAACAAGGCAAGGCAGAAGTCATTTATATATCCATGGCTGCTGTCAGCTTGAGTAGCAGTTTCATTCCTGTATTGTACTCAGTGAAACAGCTGCCGGTACATAAGTACATATCCGATTAACCCTGCTGGATGGGTGTTGAAATATACATAGATCACCCATTGAACCGGACAGGAATATCAGAAATGTAAGATTACTGTACAAAGGAACAGTGGAAAAAAAAAATACAAGGAAAGTTGCAAAACAATACTAGATTAAAATTGCTAAACTTCTGGAATCACAGAACGTCATCAGATAAATGTTTATTTATGGGGCAACCACAGGCTTGTGAAAATATTAAGTATAATTAAATATACAAGAATCACAGATGAGAAAAGCTCTGTTTAAACAAATAAAAAATAAGGAGGTCACTAAACATTTATTGAAATCATCCCACAATTTGCTTGCTGAGAAAAAAAAAGAAAGACATTTTATACAAAAGCCCACCTTACTGGCTGTACCTGCTGTATCAGTTTATTTAATTTAGTCAAACCTTACAAAATAACAATATAAAGGATGCTTTGGTGAATACGTATAAAAACAGGTATAATTTTAACAGAATGACATACTGTATGTAGCTGGGTAATGGTTCTTTCACTCTAGTAAATTAAAAGTACAGGTCTGGAGCAAGTGTGTATAAATATAATATGTATATATAATAAAAATATATATATATTCAAAATGTTCATCTATTGATCTACTAATCTATGTGTATTTTATACCTGGAGTGTTTTATTTATTATGAGTGCTCTCATAATTTCAATGGACTATATCCAGCGCTGAGAAGCATCTTGGTTTGTACAGATTTATATTATTTATTTTTTTATCAGGCAGAGTCCCAGACTCATCATTTGTTTATATACAGTCATGGGGAAAAAAAAAAAATACACCCTCTTTGAATTATATGGTTTTACATATCAGGACATTAGAACAAACATCTGTTTCTTAACAAGTATTTAAATTAGTTAACTACAATCTCAGATGAAAAACACAACATATTGTTGCTGCCCATCAAACTGGGAAGGGTTATAAGGCCATTTACAAGCAGTTTAAAGTCCATCATTCTACAGTGAGAAAGATTATTCAAAAGTGAAAACCATTCAAGACAGTTGGCAATCTTCCCAGGAGTGGACATCCCAGCAAATTTACCCCAGGCTCAAACCGTGCTCAGAAAAATTGCAAAAAAAAGTTAAAGATCATGACAATACAATTAGAAAAAGACTAAATAGGTATGCTTTTGTTGGAAGGGTTTCTAATCTCTCTAAAAAGAACAAGGCAACACAGCTTTGGTTTGCATCTGAACAAACCACAAGACTTCTGGAACAATGTCGTTTGGACAGATAAGACCAGAGTGGAGATGTTTGACAATAATGCACAGCACCATGTTTGGCAAAAACCAATAACAGCATAGAAGCACAAACACCTCATGCAAACTGTCAAGCACAGTGGTGGAAAGGGTAATGAATTTGGCTTGTTTTACAGTCCTAGGAACGTTGCAGTTATTGAGTTGACCATGAACTCCTCTGTATAGCAAAGTATTATAGCGTCAGATGTGAGGCCTTCTGTCTGATCGCTAAAGCTGGACTGAAATTGGGTCATTTAACAGGACAAACACACCAGCAAATCTACAACAGGATTGCTGAAGAAAAAAATAAATAAAGACTCAAGATGTTGCAATGGTCCAGTCAAAGTCCAGACCACAATCCGATTGAAATGCTTTGATGGGATTTTAAGAGAGCTGTTCATAAACAAATACCAGCAAACCTCAATCAACTGAAGCAACATTGTAAAGACGAATGGGCCAAAATTCCTCCACAAGTATGTGAGGGACTGATAAAGTCATACAGAAAATGATTACTTCAAGTTATTGATGCTAAAGGTAGTTCTACAAGCTACTGAATCATAAGGTGTATTTAGTTTTTCCACACATAGCTTCTACATTTTGGCTTTTATTTTTTAAATAAATCAAGACACAATGTAATTTAACGTTATTATTATTATTGGTATTTAAATAGCGCCAGCTTATTTCGCAACGCTTTACAATTAAAGGGGAATTTACCAGATGAGACAATAACAAAAAATGCAACGGGACAGGACGCAACGTGCACAGTACAACTCTGGAGGGCTTGTCGAGCCACATAAAGAATGATGGTAAATCCGAACCCACCTCAAGGTCGAGCCATTGGTGATCTCCAGTGGGAGCATGCCACATAAATATTTGGGACAAATATGCTGCATAATAATATATAAGAAAGTTCGGAAGGCCTAACTCCCCCACCCCCAACCACATTCCTGGTGTATAGATCTATTGAGAAGATTGCTGGCCAGTCTGCAGTGCTTTCTGCAGTCTGTTCAAGTCGGTCCTAGCAACTTTGAGTAACTCAAAGAGACAGAATCTGAAATAAGAACAAAAGTCTGGGCAGTACGTTTATTTTAATACAGCGGATTCTGCTAATCCAAGAGATGGGCTTGTCCTGCCAGGACTCCAATCCCTCTTTCAAGGTGTCAACCAAGGGTGTTTAATTATCGGTAGTAGTTAATTTTATAGCGTGAAAATACTCCGAAATGATCTAGTAGGCAAAAAAACGGCATTGAACTGGGTTAATAATAGAAAGTAAAACATTATCAGCATAAGTCGCGACCTTATAAGTCTCCTGACCGATTGTCATAGCCTGAATAGATCTATCCTCCCTGACACGATGCAGAAGAGGCTCCAAGAAGAGGAAGAACAGAATTGGAGACGGAGGCAAGCCTGTCGAGTGCCATCATAAATCCCGAAGGGAATCCCATGGGAACCCGCAGGTTTTCAATTATTAACACAGAGGCAAATCCAGTGTGTGTGTGTATGTATATATATATATATATATATATATATATATATATATATATATATAAAACCAAGAGGGCTGCACTCACCTGAACATGCTTACATTATACGGTGCTGCTGGGGCCAAAATATACAAAATACAGAATCCAGCGCACTCGCTTATTCACTAAACAATGATTTCAAATCTTAGAGATTGTAATAGTTTTATTTAAAAACACCTCACCTAGGCAAAAAATGATGGGGGTTTAGTTACATTATATGATCATACATTGCATAAGCCTGCCAACTACGTCAAAGTACCCCATATAAGAGCAAGCATTAGGCTGCTACTAGGATAGGACCTGCCGAATATGGGGTACTTTGATGTAGTTGGCAGGCTTATGCAATGTATGATCATATAATGTAACTAAACCCCCATCATTTTTTGCCTAGATGAGGTGTTTTTAAATAAAACTATTACAATCTCTGAGATTTGAAATCATTGTTTAGTGAATAAACAAGTGTGCTGGATTCTGTATTTTGTATTTTATATATATATATATATATACATACCACACTCACTCTCTCTTTGTGTTTGTTTTTCTGCTAGTAAGAATATTGCAGAAGGATTTCACTGCAAATAGTCACTATCAATGACCTCTCTAAGGATCTATCCTCTGATCTTAGCATTTTTGTGTTTACGGTGTTATAGTTTTTGGTTGATGGTAATTCTGTTGTTACAGTACCGTTTCATTACCAAGACTAATGAAAGTGAAGTTCTAATTAATGTTACCAGCTCTTCCTACCCAAGCTTTATTAGAGTATGTTCATAAAGTTCTCTAGCTGGCTACTGGGAAATAATCTGTTCAGTGCCTGCACCTGCAGATTCTTCACACAAATTAAATATGGTTTTCATATAAGCTTTGTTTGGCTTCACTGCTTTAGGAGGACTATACTTTTGTTTCTGCCTGCATTCGTGTTATATTATTCTTAGGCCTATTTTTTAATCCGTTTATGTATGTTTTCCTAGATCTCTAACCCCTGCTAGCTTGCCTGCCTCCTTACTGTCTTTTAATTAAAGAGACAGCAGTCACCAGAACAAATACAGATTACTGTAGTTGTTCTGGTGAGCATAGTCAGTCCCTGTAGGTTTTCTGCTATAAACACTGCCTTTTCAGAGAAAAGGTAGTGTGTTTACACTACAGCCTAGGGAGACCTCCATTGGCTACTTCTCAGATGGCCACTAGAGATGTGGAACTTTCCCCATAGATTCAATGTATCTCTATGAGGAGATACTGATCGACCAGGGTGGCGATTGGATCCCCCCCCCTTTACTGAAATATTCAGAACTGACTATCTCAGACAATCCTATGTGATAGCATTGTGATCAATCTAAACATTGTAATCAATCCTGATGATGTCAGGCAAGGAAGCAGATCAGGGGCCATTGGACCCGTACTGCGCTTAAAATAAGGTGATTTTTCTAGTTATTCAAGGAGAGCAAGGGGCGCTAGCCTGTTTAATACTATAGAGTCAGGAATACACGTTTGTGTTCCTGACTCTCTAGAGTTCCTTTAAGGATGCTGACACCTTTCACTTAGTTAGGGATGGATTTGCATCTGTTTTACCCTGTGCATCTACTAAATCTGTTCTCCAATAAACACTACACTGTATTGATTACACAACTAATAATAAAGACTGGAGACCATTTAGATCAAAGAGCAAGTGATTGAGATTATGATATTCTTATTGTAGTTTTTGCTTGACTGAATTTTTTTTCCCAGCACCAGAACTCATTCTCCATTTTCATCCATTCACATGCACTGCTATAAAATCCAAAATTAAAAGTTACCATAAATCCCATTCATTAAAGCTACAAGTAAAACTCGCAATAAAACAATACAAAACCAAATATGTTTTAAGATTCTATTTTATAATTACATATTTTTGATTAAATTATAATTAAACATGTGTGGAAATTAAAAGATCTATTACAGGTAATTAATTTTATTATATGACATACAAAAATACAGACATAGCCTTAAAGGGAGCCATGATCACCCTTTCATAATACCAAAACAATGGTTTAATTTTACAGTCTTAAATTGTGTTGAATCACGAGTATCTTCTCTGAATGTCTTATGCTGTTGTACATATTATTATTGCAATTCCAGATGCTTCACATTCTGTCATGAAGTTTTGCCATCCAATTTCCAAAAACGGATTGTAAAAGTGTTCCACTTCACTTAGTTTCCTTCTTTTGAGTTCCAACGAGATAATGCCTTGATTCTAAATGGTTACATACATCCAAAAACTTTTCAATACATTGATGCCTCTGTTTTCTTATCTCTAAAATCAAAATCTGCCAATCTATTCTATTGTTCAGTGAGGTTATTCAAAGGACCAACATCTTTCATGATTCCAGACAATCTTGTCATAGGGAATAGGGCAAATGTTTGACAATTCACAGTATCTGGATCTAACCTAGTAAGCAGGGATTTTCTTGATTGATAGATAGATCTCAGTAACTATAAATAAAGCAGAAAAAAAGAGACTATTAACCACACTAAGAAATAATCATAATCAACAAAAAAACACTACACAGTGCATTCCTATTTTAACACTAACATTTGTTTTGTTTCTGTACTTCAACACAGTGCACATTACAAACGAACAAGATAAATGTATACTGACAGTTATAGTTTCCTGGTAATTACATAACAAGTCAACAAGTTATGGGAGGTAAATATCTTTTTTTTATTTTTTGTTCGCTGTCACTTCATTTTATGGGAGGTTCCACAAATAACTTAAAGGGACACTCCAGGCACCCAGACCACTTCTGCCCATTGGAGTGGTCTGGGTGCCAACTCCCACTACCCTTAACACTGCAAGTGTAATTATTGCAGTTTTCATAAACTGCAATATTTACCTTGCAGGGTTAACTCCTCCTCTAGTGGCTGTCTACTAGACAGCCACTAGAGGGAACTTCCGTGTTTATAGCACACGAAAAGTGTGCTATAGCGTCGCTGGACGTCTTTACGCTATGTGAGGACCTCCAGCGTCGCTAAAATCCCCATAGGAAAGCATTTTTCAATGCTTTCCTATGGGGGAGGTCTAATGCGCGTGGGCGGCATTGCTGCGCATGCGCATTAGGTCTCCCCCGCCAGCGTCTGCGCATGCTCAGTAGGTCTCCCCCGCCGGATGACGTCGGCGAGGGAGGAGTGTGGGTGGACCCCGAACCAGCGCCGAGGGACATCGGCGCTGGATACAGGTAAGTCACTGAAGGGGTTTTAACCACTTCAGCAACTTGGGATGGTGGGTGGGAGGGAGAGGGGGCCTGCAGTGTCAGGAAAACAGTTTGTTTTCCTGGCACTGGAGAGTCCGTTTAACAGTCTGATGCTCAGATGTCTCATAACCAAATTGTGTTGATACATGGGTCGGATCAGGGCTTACAATTTAAAATCCTCAGATACTAGTTAGGACTTAAAAGTTACTCATATACTGCAAGCCTGGATAAACCACGGTATACTCACCAGGGGTGAATTTCTACATGCCAGTGCCTAATTTTCACTCACCAATAGCTAGTAGAAATGCGTACCCTGGTTAAAGCATGTACAAAAAGGACTACCGTAATGGTTAACATTTTGTGACCACAAGTATCCTCAAAATAGACATTGTGTGCTTTATCCCCTTAGTCATTGTTTCGTTTCAAGTTTCATGTGCTGAGCTCAAAGACAAAATGAGAAAACTTGAGTCACTTTTCAAATAATTATTGGCTGCACTGTTTTTCAGATGTCAATAAATGTAAGAAAAGGAATTACTAGACAACAAATCTGTTAAAGGAATACTTCAGACCCCTAAAGTACTTTAGCTTGCTGAAATTCTTTGTGTGTGTCCATTTTTTTTTCATTTTCAAACTGAGCAGATTTCAGTAGAAAGTGACTCATTTATAAATTATACAGGTTACAACCTCCTGGCTTTTAAAGCAGACATCAGGTCCTGTTACTCCTTTGTTTGGTTAGCTTAGTTGTACTGAACTAAAGAGGCAGCAACTGCTCAGAGCACCTGCTTTGCTAATACTTCTCATTGAGCTGCAATTTGAGATCTGTTATTGGACCATCAAAGTCTGGTCGGTTTTACAAAGGGAGGGCTTGCAAGGGCTGCAGACAAGAGATCTGCAGCTTTTACAATGTGTTGTTAGACATAACTCCAGTGAAAAAATGCACAATTAAATGCATGCAAGTTTTCATTTGGGATTTATCAACTAAACAGTGATTTTTATTTATTTTCTATATGGGCAGTAGAGTGTCCCTTTAATGTTCAAAAATGGAATGCAAATTTATATGTATGTACATAGAATGGCCTGATGTTGGTACAAATATGCATTCTTACCACTGCTTATATCTGTCAAACAAGTGTATAATTAATGCTTGATATGCACATCAATAATCTGTATATATGAACAAGGAAAAAAAAACCCATTAAATTAGAAGTAATCACCTTTCGCAAGGATTTAACTGTATTTCCATCAGATGATCTTGACAGGTGTCAGGTCATCATGCTCTGGTTTTCTATCTTCTGCAGACTTTGCAGCAAACTTGGACAACTTGCTTTTCAAAGGCTTCTTCGAATAAAACATATTGAAATGTTAAATGGATGTCTGTTTCCCTCAATTGATTGTGCGCACAGACTAGGTGAATAAACTACAAGTACGTTTACCTCTTTTTAATGGCCTCTTCTGTTTTCTTCCACAAAATATATCCAGTGCATCAATTATGCTGTCAAAAGTTTTTCCTTCTTGCTTGTGCGTCGTCATAAGATGACCTCAAAAGTACAAATAAATGCTATTTTTGAACTTCTACTCTATAGCTTTGGTTTTATTTTCCCTTTATCCATTTATTCCACACAATCTCAGAACCAGGCTCCCACATGAGTCACATGGCTCTCTTACTGCCTATCTTTGTACACACCGACACCCCTTTCATTATGTCTAAAATTGTAGCATTGCAATAGTCTGCCAACTTCTCACTGTTAAAAGTTCACCAAATGGTTGAGAAGTTGACAGCTAGATGAAGTTCAATGAATGGCAGTTCTGCATATAACAATATATAAAAATAATTTGTGCTAAAATATTGAAGAAAATAAGAACTCAGAAGCAGACTACAGTAAAGGTGTAGTATCAACTAGGTCTAAGCCAATATGGTTCATTCGTAGCAAAGTTTTTGCTGGAGCTTTCTTTCATAAATAGGGTAGAATACATCAGTGGGGGCCATCACCTTAGTGGAAAATTATGTCAACAGGTTGACTCTTTGAAATTTGGCAGCCACTTGGACTCAGCTGATGGTCAATACACTCTCAATAAATGGTAGGGCCAGACTGGGTACTGGTCTTAAGGCTGCAGGCTGACGATAGGACGTTCAGACAAGAAGTGAGGCCAGGTCAGTAAAGGAGTTCGACAGACAGGTAGAAAGAGGCCTGTGGCATACTGGTCAACAGACTGTGCTAATAGGATCGATCTCAGCAGGTTTCAGAATACCATAGTCAGGAACAAGACACATCAGCAACAAGAAAAAGGACCAGAAAAGGAATGCAACTGGAATGCAGATTGCTGGGTTCCTAAAGTTGAGAAACGATACTTCAAAGATAATTTCCTTAACGATGGTGTGATTTTCCAAATTGACTATTTGGCTTAAAAAGTGCAATAAATTATCATTCCTCTACAATTTGAACAAAAAAACTTCTAAATGAAATCAGCAAGAACTGTATTCTCCTTAGTTAAGGCATTGTTTGTCAGGTTATTGATGTAGAGGTTACCTTACAAAAACAGGGTCATGAGACGTTTTATTTGAAAAATAAAGTGACATAAAAAAAAAAAAAAAAAAAAGGGGGATTAAATTGCACGGTTCCCCTTGGCAACAAAGCAGCTAGTGGAACATGGAGACGCCCTTTGCCATGAAATTTTTTAGGATTATAAGGGAAATAATATCACCATGTCAAATAACCTATAAAATGTATAGATCATTCATTTAAAAAGTCAGATGGCTTTTAATATGTTTATTATGCCAAATAAGCAAAGAAAATAATTCCTTATGAGCACTTCTCTCCCAAAACACTATAATAAACAGGTGTCGTGACTACCACCATTACATTTTATATGGATTTAAGTCTTTACTGAAAAGTGAGGACTTTGTCCTCATCTATCTATGAATTAGATAGGGACACATCGCGGTCCCATTCCCAGATTATAGTGAGGCTGTAGGATTGCGGCCTTTGTGGCCTTTGTGGCCTTTGTGGCGGTAACATTAATACTTACAGTTATATAGGATCCGGCATATCTAGAAATGTTTTACAGACTTTAACTCCTTATTTATTAATAACAACCAAAGACAGGATGGTTTATGATTTGATATACTGGTACATAAGGAATAGAAAATGGTGCCTATGAGTGCGTGGTCTACTATTTGTAGCAACTTTATAAAGGATAGCATAGTCCCTAAGTGTACATTCTAAAAGGGAAGATTGAGTTGACACAAAAATGAAATTTTTGGAGGTAATTAGAGATGCATTCACACATTGAGCATTATACAACTGAAATAACTTATAAAATTACTTTACTACTTGCTAGTTTAGACTATTATTGTAGGAATATAAAAGTATATATAAATATCCTAGTCAGTATATGCGGTTAAACTATTTATTGATTGAATGGAAATAAGAAAATGAACAATGCAAAAGGCGTGATACAAGCTAATACTCCTTTGTTCTGCTAATCACGTGTTCCCACAAACAGACACAGAGAGTGTGTATATAGTGCCAAGAGGGAAGTACAAAAATAGATAGGAAGTGGTATAACAGGACACCCCCCCCCCCCCTTTCCCCCTCCTCCTTCGGCAGTGCCAATCAGCTAGTAGTATTCAATAGAGACCAGAGTGATTTTTGGGGAAAGGGAACTGCATTGGCAGAGAAGGGGGGGAAGTTTACCAACAGTCTTAATTGGTTTTACCTGGATTTGGCCATGTGCTCTCAGAGGACTCTATCATTGTCTAAGGGTAGAAATACTTCCCTAAATTAGGCTTGATTCCCTTCAACATTAGAACACTTGACTTTGTTGACACACAGTTGGTTGTCATTCTTTCCCCTCTTATTACAATAACCAAAAATGAAGCATATGCTAATTTCCTATCCATTGCACATGGCATAAGTATGTCAAATCACACAAATGTCACATTGTAAAAGACAAACCATGTATGCTTCATGAACTAATAGTAAATGCAATAAACTGTGACACACTAAATAATGAAAAAACAGAACGATCTGTTAGGTGTTTGTACTGGGAGTATTTTCATGAAAAACACAAAATGAAAATGCAACAAAGATACAGCACTTCCTTCATCAAATAAAGTGCCAGTAAGGCTTAAAAGAGCACTTTGACATTAGTACTTCATTGATCAACTAACACCGTTTAGCAAAAGAAAAGAACATGAAAGAAGGTTTTAGTACAAGCAGAAAGAAATCAAAGCATAATTTTGCAACATTACTGTAGATATCGGACATGTGGCTGTTTTTGTGGCTTGCCAGAATTCTGGATTAAAGTAAACATTATTCAAAGCATAGTTCTAAAGATAACAAAATCAGTTAGTTCTGGTACTATGTAAAGAAGTGCCAAAACTCACTGTCGTCGGCTGCAGCCTGCCATGTCCTCGTTTTGCTACAACCTGGAACACCTGTAAGATTTTGCCATTTCTCTTGTATGTTTTGTCTACGGGCAGTATACTGGATTGTGTATGAAGAATATATAGCAAAAAAATCACAACTAAGCATAATCGAGTTAAGGCTTTGTTTTATTACTGTAAAAGAGGTTACACTTGATAAAGATACTAATTCTACCTCTATGGGAAGCTATTTTCTTATGTTTTCTGGTATAGCATATGTTTCTTCCTTTTATCAAGTTGTTTATGTATATAACATACATATATATAGATATATATATAGCTACTTTCCAGTAGTGCTTTTATGTTTCTAAATAATAGACTTTTTAATTAAAAATAATAATGCCCAATACAATGTAAATATGTAGTATAAATTACACATCAGTATTAAAGCGTCATTGTGACTGCCCCTTCCCCGAAAAATTAGTATGTCATAAAGATAGAGTTTAAGAATTAATTCCCCCAGCCTTCACCAGTGACAGCTGCAGGGAATAGGCTGTGTCTTTGGAGGATCCCATGCTCTCGCAGGATACTCCACAGACCTCATTGCTGTACTCATTGTTTCAAACGTGCATTTGAAATAGTGCAGCACGTTTACCTGCCACTAGCGGCAATGTCACCGTTGGGGTCTTTGAGATAAATGTAGAAAAGTCCAGGCACTCCAGAATTCAAAAATGGCAATTTATTGAACCCACAGCCAAAGGAACGTTTCAAAACTGGTCTTTGGCAAAGACCAGTTTTGTTCGAAACATTACTTTGGCTGTGGGTTCAATAAGTTGCCTTTTTTTAATTCTGGAGTGCCTGAACTTTTCTACATTTATCTCATTGAGCAACTTGGTTTCTTGGTACTGGGACCAATCCTGTTGCACCCAGATTCCTATTGTTTAGGGGATTGAGTGCAGTTCCACACCCTTCATTCTTTGGAAAAAAACATTGGGGTCTTTGTGAATTCAGCAACGTGCCCAAATGGTGACAGTAACCCTTTAATGTATATAAACACAGCTTACAGGTGTTACTAACCATTAGCTCATAATAATGAGACGGATCAAATTAAGTTAACCTGCCAGTAATGTCATTACACATGTCTGCAATTGAAATTATATATTTCACCAATCTGGATGCTCACCATTTTATATACACTTGCACTGTTATATGTATATTTCTTAGTACTCAATAACATTTAAAATACTAAATAACATTTTGTACGTGTGCATAATTCACATATGGCAGTTTTCTTGAAATTGTCATGAAATCTTTTTAAGTTGGACATGAACATATAATGATTTTATATATATATATATATATATATATACACACACACACACACACACACACAGGGAGTGCAGAATTATTAGGCAAGTTGTATTTTTGAGGATTAATTTTATTATTGAACAACAACCATGTTCTCAATGAACCCAAAAAACTCATTAATATCAAAGCTGAATATTTTTGGAAGTAGTTTTTAGTTTGTTTTAGTTTTAGCTATGTTAGGGGGATATCTGTGTGTGCAGGTGACTATTACTGTGCATAATTATTAGGCAACTTAACAAAAAACAAATATATACCATTTCAATTATTTATTATTACCAGTGAAACCAATATAACATCTCAACATTCACAAATATACATTTCTGACATTCAAAAACAAAACAAAAACAAATCAGTGACCAATATAGCCACCTTTCTTTGCAAGGACACTCAAAAAGCCTGCCATCCATGGATTCTGTCAGTGTTTTGATCTGTTCACCATCAACATTGCGTGCAGCAACAACCACAGCCTCCCAGACACTGTTCAGAGAGGTGTACTGTTTTCCCTCCTTGTAAATCTCACATTTGATGATGGACCACAGGTTCTCAATAGGGTTCAGATCAGGTGAACAAGGAGGCCATGTCATTAGATTTTCTTCTTTTATACCCTTTCTTACCAGCCACGCTGTGGAGTACTTGGACGCGTGTGATGGAGCATTGTCCTGCATGAAAATCATGTTTTTCTTGAAGGATGCAGACTTCTTCCTGTACCACTGCTTGAAGAAGGTGTCTTCAGGGAACTGGCAGTAGGACTGGGAGTTGAGCTTGACTCCATCCTCAACCCGAAAAGGCCCCACAAGCTCATCTTTGATGATACCAGCCCAAACCAGTACTCCACCTCCACCTTGCTGGCGTCTGAGTCGGACTGGAGCTCTCTGCCCTTTACCAATCCAGCCGCGGGCCCATCCATCTGGCCCATCAAGACTCACTCTCATTTCATCAGTCCATAAAACCTTAGAAAAATCAGTCTTGAGATATTTCTTGGCCCAGTCTTGACGTTTCAGCTTGTGTGTCTTGTTCAGTGGTGGTCGTCTTTCAGCCTTTCTTACCTTGGCCATGTCTCTGAGTATTGCACACCTTGTGCTTTTGGGCACTCAAGTGATGTTGCAGCTCTGAAATATGGCCAAACTGGTGGCAAGTGGCATCGTGGCAGCTGCACGCTTGACTTTTCTCAGTTCATGGGCGGTTATTTTGCGCCTTGGTTTTTCCACACGCTTCTTGCGACCCTGTTGACTATTTTGAATGAAACGCTTGATTGTTCGATGATCACGCTTCAGAAGCTTTGCAATTTAAAGAGTGCTGCATCCCTCTGCAAGATATCTCACTATTTTTGACTTTTCTGAGCCTGTCAAGTCCTTCTTTTGACCCATTTTGCCAAAGGAAAGGAAGTTGCCTAATAATTATACACACCTGATATAGGGTGTTGATGTCATTAGACCAAACACCTTCTCATTACAGAGATGCACATCACCTAATATGCTTAATTGGTAGTAGGCTTTCGAGCCTATACAGCTTGGAGTAAGACAACATGCATAAAGAGGATGATGTGGTCAAAATACTCATTTACCTAATAATTCTGCACTCCCTGTATATATATATATATATATATATATATATATATATATATATATATATATATAATTTCATAAGGATCCACAAAGAAAAGGTATAAAAACTTACTTGGGTGTAGAACCTCTTGGCCACTGTCCCTCTTGAGTTTTCTGTTCTATTACTAGCATCTGCATAAAACAGAAACCTTAATATCAAATACTATCAAATATAAAACTGGTAGCTTTTTTAGTGGGTTTTTAAAAAAACAATATTTATATATTTTTTTAAGTAGCCACACACTCACACTTTGCTAGCCACGCTTACTCACACACCTAATTAAACGAATAAGTCAATAAGTCTAAATAGCTGTTCAGTTCCCTTTACCTCCAGTTTAAAAGTTTATTTACTCACCCTTTTTCCAGCGCTGTGCGGGTTTAATCACGGCTGGCCAGCCCACACTCCACCCCCTTGGCTGAGATCATCAAACTTGATGATGTTAGCCAAACCAAAGCATTCCCATAGGAAATCGCTGTGAACACTATGGATAAATGTAAGTACTTTTAGAAATTAAACTTTATCAAGTATGGTACACATATATGATATACAGTACGCCACATTATAATAAATATTTAATATCTGTTTGGAACAATAAGAAATGTTCATCATGTGCAGTCACTGTACATAGATCTGAAACAAACAGCTGTAGGCAGTACTTGCCTAGCATCATTGTCAGCAAACTGTTTTTGTGTTTACAAGCACACAAATGTCTACTTAATGTTAAAGCCATAGAGTGGTCGCATGGCAGAACTAATACAGAAATGAAGAAAAACACTTTAAATGTCTATAATACATAAACAGATTTTTTTTTTTTTTTTTAAAGTATAAAAATTACAAAGACATATAGGCATAAAATGTGTGTCATACCTGTCCCTGATACAAGCCAGCATCTTGTATGGTACTTTCAGGTTTGGTCAGAGGCTCAAACGTATTGCTCATATATTTGTTCCACAGTCTGGTCTCTTTTTCTTCGGGAATATTGAAGATCTTTATCATTTCCTTTTCAATCATATCTAAATGTTAAAACAAAATCACATGTGTGTATACAAATATAAGTATTATTGCAAACCTACAATATCTAAAACAGAATAAGATGAACCTGATTAATGAAAAAGTAACCCATCCCACCTCATTTTATGGAGAAATAAGAGTATCTGTAAAAGGGCACCATGCACAAAATCTAAAGACCATTTTAGATTATACACATGTCCATACTCTGGCAAATCAAACATTACTGCTTGCATTCAATGATAGAACAGGCATCAGCAGTGAGGTTGGTGTGTCCTCATAAAGCTGGCAATATAAAAATGTTTGATTTCTGCTTGCTGAAAATTCAGGAACTGTTTTCCTAATGTGTGACACTAGAAAACCACATGGCTTGAAAATAAGTTAGAGACGGAGGATAGGTAGAGCTTATATTTGTATTTATTTCTGAACAGTTTAACATTTATATTAGTGACAGTGACACTAAAATTATAGCACTAGCAATACGTTTGTATTTCTAACTATATAGTGTTCCTTTAAGGGCCTCAGCACATTTTGTGCAGTAAGCAGATTTAAACATAAATAAATACAATTGCAGAGTAATTGCTCCAGTCTACATTTAGCTTCTCTTACCCTGGATTAAAAATGCAAAGTTTTTTTTTTTTTTTTTTATGGAACACTTATTTTCTCTTGTAATATGGAATCGATCAGGAAATTCAAAAGGATTTTAATATTATGTTTCTGTTTCTGCCAGAGTTATTTAACAACCTCCAAATTTAAGCAAATTGAAATTTGTATTCAAAATTGAGGCCAAAATAGCAAGCTGTGACTACAGTGCAGTTTAAGCATTTTTCTAAATCAGCTGGTTTTAATGTAGTGATTTCACTGTATCATTACAGTTCTGCTTTTTTAAATACAAACATCATTAAAGACATTTAGGTTATTTCAAGTCATTTGCATGTTGACTTTTGTCACAGTGGAATACACATCGCAACAATAATTTTCTATCCAAACTACATCGAACACGTATCCAAAAATTTAAAACTATTTTTCAAGATTGGGAAAAGCCCCAACGGATTAAAGGTTTAGATGAAAATTTTTAAAAGAATGAAAGATTACTTAATAACGAGACAAAAAAATGGTGAGAAATAGCTTTCCTAGAAACTTATTTTAAAAGAGGTTCTTATTACATGAGGCCTGTGTGTTGAAAAGATTCCTGCTGGAATCCACACGCTCCCTTCATCTTTCCAGCCTTGTGTTTAAGAGCTTTTCTGGGAAACTCCCACCCTACCTGAGCAAAATGCTCTTCTCGGCTGTTCCCACCTCCTATAACCTCCGATCCAGTACCGGCACTTTAGTCTACCTCAATACAAAAAGAAAGCAGCCCGCTCCTCCTTCTCCTACAGAGCGCCGCAATTGTGGAACAACCTCCTGCACACTTTAAAATCTTCCCCAAGCCTAAAGTCCTTTAAGAGATCCCTCTCTACATACCTCAAAACAGAATGCACGTGTTATGGTTGATTATATATTTACTACCTATTCTATGTTAAATTTTGTATATATTGTGTGTTAATATTGTGTTTGTATTTTATTGCACCATAATGTATCAATGCAATGTGTTGTGGACCCAGGACATACTTGAAAACGAGAGAACTCTCAATGTATCTTTCCTGGTAAACTATTTTATAATTAAATAAATAAATTTGGGATTGATGATGAATTATTTCTGAGTGGGAGGAAATTTTAGACAATTTAAACATTCAAGGGAAATGAAGGACAAGCTGGAACAGGAATTGGAGGAATTAGAATCCAATCCCCCAATCGATATAGAGAATATTGAATTTAAAGAAAAAAAACAACATACAACATAAACATTGCAAATAAAACCCATAAAATTTAGATGAAAGGATAGCAGAAACAAAGAGTAAAAAGTATAGACAAGATAAATGTCACAACAAGATAAATGAAAAAGAAAATAGTGGTAAACCGCGCCAAAACAAAAGTGATCAAATAATCATATTTATACATACATTTTGTTCTTGAATTTTACAGCATTTGAAAACCTCAAAAGGAAAGAAGAATAAACAATAATAGTGCAGTATGTTAAAAATATTATAATAGTGTATAAATAAAATAGACTGTGAGTGAAGAGCAAACTCACACTTTACCGAGCTGCTAGGAGCTCTGCCGTATAGCGCCTGGACGGTACAATCCCCGTCTTAGGATCTGAATATACCGGGAAGTCCAAATTCAGCGGTCATATATATGTGGAGAAAACAAAATATACAGACCAATGGTACAGTATCATAAGCTAGAAATAATATAGGAAAATGTAGGTATCCTACTTACAGTATCCAGAGCAATGACTTGCTCTGGTGATGTCAGCTTGTGGTGGTATAATCCCCACCAAAGGATATAGCAGGAAAACAGCAGCACCAGAAGATATGCAGAAGCCAAAGGATTTGAAAAAAAGGCAATCAATTTATTAATAAAAAATATATTAAAATATATATAAATAAAAGTGTGTATAAAACATCTACTACAATTTCAAATCTTATCCTTGACGCGTTTCACCCGGGTATGGGCTTTTTCAAAAGAGAGGATGTCCTTGGCATTCCGCCCGGTTAATATAGGGAGTGTTGATTCTTCAATGGTGATCTGGTGTGACGCTGTACTTCCTATTTCCTGTTTGGTCGCGGGCGTCGACCAGAAATGACGCGCCGCGACCATTAGTGTATGCTGGGAAATGTAGTCCATCTAAAACATCCATACTAGGAATGCGGTTTAGATCGCGGCCGTCAACCGGAAGTGACGTGTCGCGAGTGCCGATGTATGATGGGAGATGTAGTTTCTCCAAGTGTCCATTTAATATAATCACAGCTGTCAGCCGAAAACCGGAAGTGACATGCCGTGGATGGTAGCTGGGATATGTAGTCTCAATACATAGCTTCAATATATAAATACAAAATAATCCAATTCATATTATCTGTGAAGCATGCACAACATAACATGTAGTGATTAATGTGAGAAAACACATTCCAGTAATATATTTATATCCCTTATTAGGAAAAGCATAGCCTGTAATGGTTAATCCAATTCCAGTGGTATAGTTAGGGGCGTACTTAATATAATCTAAAAAGATAGAAATATACTTTAGGAGAATAAAAAGAATAATCTTGGTTATTAAAGGTACCAAATTTGATATATACTTAGGGATATTATTTTATCACGATATATAGACAAAGGAACAACCATTATAGGGAATGATCCTAACTTTGAGGTAGGAATGACAAAAAGAGAATGCCAAGGACATCCTCTCTTTTGAAAAAGCCCATACCCGGGCGAAACGCGTCAAGGATAAGATTTGAAATTGTAGTAGATGTTTTATACACACTTTTATTTATATATAGTTTAATATATTTTTTATTAATAAATTGATTGCCTTTTTTTCAAATCCCTTGGCTTCTGCATATCTTCTGGTGCTGCTGTTTTCCTGCTATATCCTTTGGTGGGGATTATACCCCCACAAGCTGACATCACCAGAGCAAGTCATTGCTCTGGATACTGTAAGTAGGATACCTACATTTTCCTATATTATTTCTAGCTTATGATACTGTACCATTGGTCTCTATATTTTGTTTTCTCCACATATATATGACCGCTGAATTTGGACTTCCCGGTATATTCAGATCCTAAGACGGGGATTGTACCGTCCAGGCGCTATACGGCAGAGCTCCTAGCAGCTCGGTAAAGTGTGAGTTTGCTCTTCACTCACAGTCTATTTTATTTATACACTATTACAATATTTTTAACATACTGCACTATTATTGTTTATTCTTCTTTCCTTTTGAGGTTTTCAAATGCTGTAAAATTCAAGAACAAAATGTATGTATAAATATGATTATTTGATCACTTTTGTTTTGGCGCGGTTTACCACTATTTTATTTTTCACTTTCACTACATAGCAGGCATTGGGAAGTCCTGCAGGTTCACTGCTGCCTTCCACACTTATTGGTTTTTTAGTGAGCGCCTATACCCTTCTTTTTTAAACAACAAGATAAATGTCTTCTGATATCCAGAATTATTTTTGTTTAGTTTTTCTGGTTTTCTATTCTATGTCTTGTTTTCTTTATGCTGGGTTTTCTGGGTTCATTCTTTTATTCTGTTCCTGGAATTCCCAGTCTCCTGAGTTCCTTTAAATGTTTGTTTTTTTGTTGCCACACCCGTTCCTTTGCCATTTACATTTTTGTTTCAGAGTCTGTTCCTGCTAGCAGTTTTCTCATTTCCTCTGCTCCTTTCTTTGCAGGAAAGTACTGTGTGTGTTTTATTGTTGTTTATTTAGTCATACAAATCTAGGCAGTTAGGACCCAACGTAATTGAAGTACTTTATCGCAGTGGTGGGCTGCATACATTTTGGCCATTTATGTTTTATTACATATATAGTACTTAGTTATGTCTCCTCTTGTTTTACCTTCTATCTCTTGTCTCGTTTTATTTGTCTTGTATTCCCAGTTCATGTACAGTCCTGTCCTGGTCATGTTCTGTTCATGTTTCCCTCATGTATTATGTACATGTTCTGGGTTCTGCTTTCTGTCCTGCTCCGGTTCTGGGTTCTTCTAGTCTTGTCTTATCTTATCTTGTGTGGTGCCTGTTCTAGTCTTACTTAGATTCTAGTACTGAATACATATCAGCATATCATCTAGCTCCTGGCTTCTGTTTAACCCCTTAAGGACACATGACAGAAATATCCCGTCATGATTCCCTTTTATTCCAGAAGTTGTGTCCTAAGCTGCATCAGAGACCTGGTATGTGGCCGCACAAACTCTGGTGCTCAACACCAGTGGGCATGTGGTTACCCTGCTCCAGACCCTGATTGCCCATTTCCAAGCTGAGACTCCTCTTCATCAGGCACAGAGCGGCCCCGGGCTTCAGACCGCCACCCGTGACATTAAAGAGGATAAAATCCAAGACACCTTTTCTACAAGTAACAAAATCCTATTAGGGAGAAAAAAGTCAAGCTATACTTTTAATAAAAAGAACTTCTGAACCCCACTCAAACAAAGGAGAAATTCATTCTCTGAGTCCTAAAAAAAGTTCCAAACAATGCTTGAGAAGGATACCTCCATCTCAATACACTAATTCCAAAACACGGAATTATAATTCCAATAAAGTAAGAGAACGTCCTCGTTTTTCCTGACAGAATGTCCCCAGAGGAAGAAAGAGAGCACAGGTCCTATGCCCAGGTAGCAAGAAATAATCCAAAAACCAATATTAGGAACATTCATTTTAGTGATAGAGAGGAAAAGTTTCAAGGGAGAACCATAGCACCAAAAGAGAAGACAATAACAAATTATTTCAAACCCAGGGAGGAACATCACAATCATTTCTCTCCATGTAGATACCCCACAAAAAAGAATCAGGTTGGAAGATTAGAAAACAATTTACAATCTAAAACCAACTTAGGCGATAGAGATTTTTAAAAAGGAATCTTTAATATATCAGGGATTCCATTGTTCGAAAATGAGATCAGACTATTGGAAAAAGGCATGAAATTTGCCCCCAAATAAACATGCAAATGACTTTAATCTTTGAGTTAAAGAAGTAGATTAGACTATGACTATTAAGAGACACTCCCTTATGTATCCCACATCTCCTAATTAAGGGGTAATGGAGTACCAGAGTAGAGGCCCATATTTGGAAATTTTTGATCCAATAGTAGATCAAGAGTTCAGGTCCCTATACAGAAAAAATAAGTATGGAAAGAGTAACCTAACTAAGAAAGAGCAATCCTGTTTTAAAAATTTGATGAAAAGAGAGGATATAGTCATCAAGGAGTCGGATAAGAGGGAGTGCATAGTGATTATTTCCACTGAGTGCTACCTGCAACAATCTGTAAACATTTTAGGAGATACAAAAACATACACAGTATTAAAAAGGAATCCTACAAAGACTTTCAATGCTGAATTGAAAGTTCTATTGGAAGGAGCAAAAACAAGAAACATAATTACACAACAACATTTTGATTATCTATTCCAAAAAAACCTTACCATTCCTATTTTTTATTTTCTACCCAAGACACATAGAAACTTAACACAACCCACTAGATGTCCTATAATTAGCGGGATAGATTCGCTTACCGCTAATTTATCGGCTTTTTTACAAATATATGCACAGACAGCTTTATCATATATTAAAGACACAAAGTTATTTCTACAAGAAATAGAAAGTCTCGAGTGGAGTCCAGATTATAGCTGGGCAACACTCGATGTTACAACATTATACACGGTCAGTTGGCATAACCTGGGACTGGAGGTCATTAATCATTTCATGAGCCTGTATTCAAATATATCATAAAAGTGTAGAGATTCTGTTTCATCTTCAGTTAAATTTATTTTACAGCACAATTTTTTCTTCAATGGAGACTTTTATTTACAAGTCACGGAGACCAACTTGGGCCCCAGGTTCGCCCCCAGCAATGCCAACACCTATATGAGAAGATGGGAATATCTTTGTTTAGTCTGGTCATGGTTGGGGAGAGAACCTGGTGCTCAGGCAGAGATACATCGATTATGTAATTATTATTTGAAAGGGGTCTTTTTCTTGTTTTCAAGGGTTTGTGGATTATCTGAATGATAATAAATGTCATCTGAAATTTATACCAGTATGGGACAGAAATACAGTACATTTTCTTGATTTAACTCTTTTTTTGTGAGGATGACCATATCAAATTCAAATGCTTTTTCAAACCAACAGATTGGGAACAGTCTTGGTTAAGGGGAATAGCGAAAAGACAACTCATGCGTCTTAGATGCAATTGTTCCCATCCACAAGATTTTGAATCCCAGTCATTACATATTAAAAACAAACTCATAGAAAGGGGATATAATAAAAACAGCTTAGAGAAGATTAGAATCACAAAAAAATGGAGAGATATTAGTTATTAATGGATAGGTCAAATACTGATACATTTAAATATGCATTTACTACACAATATAATGTGGTACATCAATGAATTAAGAGAGGTTTACAAAAGCACTAGTCAATCCTATCACAGGACCCTGTATTGGGGAACCTATTGTCAGAAAACCCTACCCTAATTATAGGAAGAATTGTAATCTTAAAAACCGTTTAGCCCCAAGCTATGCTATTAAAACTGACACTAAATCAGAGATAGTAATTTAAAACGTCAATTGCCCCAAAATATATTTTGGGGGAATTGACGTTTGAAATTAACTGCACCTTCCCCTTAGTGGATGGACTCTCTCCCCCTGAGCATAATATGTGAAGCTTCTCCCCATCTGTTCAGTCGGCCCATTTGCCCCTGAAGAACACCAGGGGAAGATCGCTCACCGCGGAACTCTCTCGGATCCACAGTGGAACACACAGCCATCTTGGATTACGAGGACCTTTTGAACACAAGGAAGTGCACGCTGGAACGCACGGAAGTGCGTCTCGGACGGCACTTCAGTTTTCTGCCGATTGGAAGAATTTGGATTAGCTGGAAGAAGGGCTACTCGTTATGACAAATTAAGAAGCAGATGAAGTGGAGATTGGACTCTCCAATGGAATTAAGAAGAACAGAAGATATCCATTGGAGCAACAATGAACTTGAGGGACTAGCCCTATTTAAGGGGATTAAGGGGTGGGTTGGAATAGGCTGCTTTTGGGAGCACTATCACTCTTACTGCCTTTATTCACATTTGATCTCTGAGGAAGTCCCAATGTCACTAAAAAAGTGACTGAATAATGACATGCAAAACTTTTTTAAAACCTTTAAAAAGAAAAACAACCTTGGTTTAACACAGAACAGGGGGAACGGTAGCGCTGTCTCCTAGCATCATAACAACAAGGGGTTGGAGTGGTTATGGTATTTATAATGTCCCATTCATTATAGAATTTAACAGACTCCTTTAGACATATCTATAAATTATTATTAATGGATATCCCTCCAAAAGTAAACTAAAATATGATGGAATATAATAAAAGAGGCTTTATTAAAAACATTTTTTATAATTTATTCATAATTAATTAGCTGAGTTTTAGGACTGTGTATCTTATATTCTGCCAATATCCCTTTAAACCGTAATCAAGAGGCAAAAAACAAATTAACATTCAGAACATTTTTTTAGAGGAATTAACATAATTAAGCAGCAGATAGAAAGAAGTCCTTACCTATAGTGTCAGCTTTGCTAAATCGTCTTGTTACAACATTGTTCAAGTTTCCATTTTCGCACAGTTTCAGTTCAGTTAGATAAACTTCTACTTTGCAGTGTTTTACAAACATACCCTGTTCAACCACCTGTAACAGCACAACAGACATTTTAATCATTTGTGAAATTTAATGTTCTAAATTACTTTGGCCCACCACCTTGAATTTTCCCCACTATGATTCTTAACTGCTGGGACAATGCTCAAGGCAATTATCAACAATACATTGTATTTTGGAGAATCTATGCATTTTCTATTGTAGTGAAAGAGAGCCCATTTAACACTGGAATAAGTTTAATGGTACACTTATATTGCCATATATTAAATCACAGTTGAAGAATTGGTCACCGGGATGATTTATTAAAAGAAGGATTGGTCACTAAATTAACAACCAAGAGCATGATTTGGGTCGTGACAAAAAAAAAAAAAAAAAAGGTTCAGGAACACTGCACTTTAATGCATTAACATTCATTGAGACAAAACAAAGCACTCTCTTAACTCTCTTTGTTCACTATAATTTTAAGCAATTGCATCCACCAAATATTAGCACTCATCAACTTCTCAGGTGTCTTATATGACCATGAGCCATATAGTCAAACAAATGGATCATCCAGAAGTTAAGCAAGCTGTAATGTTCCTATATCTTTAGTTGACTTTCCAACTGCCCAGAAAAGATCTAAAAAAAATCTGAATTAATTATTTTAGCTATGAAGGCTAAAATTGGCAAACCAGATCTTTGTGAACTGCATTTCACATTTTAAAGACTAAAAGACAATAGGTTACCAGGGTTATCCATTAACACTACCAACAGCCATGCTCAGCCAATCATTACTGTACAAAATTTGATAAAATAGCTTTGTGAACACTAGAGTGGAACTTCTGCATTATCAATCCGGTGAGAGAGGGGCCAGGTTGCAAACATCTGGGGGAAGACCAGCTTGTGTAAAATTTAACTGGATTAACCTTTACTGACTTCCAGTAAGCTTAGAATACAGCTATGACCAATAATGCAACATTTATATCAATGGCTGCATTTCCTCACCTTTTCTTTGGGACAAGGACCCAATTTATGTGCATATCATTAGTTTGGTGAAGCATTCTCCAACTGCAATATAAAATGTACTAAACTTAGGTAAAACAAGCATATTCTTTCCCAGTGTCAGAGGAGTCATTTGCAATAGGGAAAGATAGTGCGATTACAGTGAACAATACTAATATGTGCATGATCCAACCAGTGTGGACCCAATAAAACAGAGTAGGGGGACAATTTGGGGTTCCAAACTATGAGATAAGAGCAAATATTTTATGAGAACACAAACAGGCTCTACAATGGAGTACAGCACTAGAAATGAAAACAAAATAAATGCGCAAACAAACAAGATAATGTACAGGAAATAGGGTCCAATGAGCTTTAGCATTATAAAGCTGACTGTCTGGCTGGTTAATTGCAGTTGTTTAAGTAATGTGTAAAAATATTATATGCTATGTTTCTCTATACAGGTGGTCCTCATTTAGACCTACCTGTTTTACGACGGTTTGCACTTAGGATCAAGCGAAGTGCGAGCTGTCGTGGGGATTCCCTGCTCTGGTGCGCATATCTTTTTTGGGGAAGTTTCCCCGAACATAGACAAACACACCAGAGCAGGAAATCCCTTAACTCCTCACTTACCGACCAATTCGTTCTACGACCGGGTCGTAGCAATGGAACCCAGTCGGTAAGTGAGGAGTGTCTGTATGCTTCTTTTGTTTTCAGACAGCATTTTACCCCATAGATTTATTTATAGAATATTTTACCAGGAAGGATACAATGACATTTCTCTTGTTTTCAAGTATGTCCTGGGTTTTTCAAGTATGTCCTAGGTACCATATATACTCAAGTATAAGTCTAGTTTTTCAGCACATTATTTGTGCTGAAAAACCCCTACTCGACTTATACTCGAGTCAGTGTCTGTATTATGGCAACTTACATTGCCATAATACAGACCAGGACCGCCGGGCTCCTTACAAGCCTGGCGGTCCTGTTGGGGGCTGGCAGATAGCTGTTACTTACCTTCCTGCAGCTCCTGTCAGCTCTCTTCTCCTCCACTGTAAGTCTCGCGGTGTGACTACCGCGCGGAGCGTTGCCACGGGCTCTGACCCCGCGGCTCTCGCGAGATTTACAGTGGAGCTGACCGGACCAGAGGAGAAGGGAGCTGACAGGAGCTGCAGGAAAGGTAAGTAACAGCTCTCTGCCAGCCCCCCTCCTACATAGCCCATCCACTGGACCACCAGGGAATGAGAGCCCCCCTCCCTGGCCAGCTAACAAGCAGGGAGGGGGGACGAAAATAAAAATTAAATAATAAAAAAAAAATAATATTACAATAAAAAAATTTAAATATTAAAGTTAAAAAAGTAAAGTATAAAATAAAAAAATAGTACTAAAATAAAAAAATTTAAATATTAAAATTAAAAAAATTAAAATAATAAAAATGCCCTCCCCCACCCAGTTCACACACAAACACACACTCATACAAACACACACTCTGCATTATACACACACACTTTGCATTCACACAAACACACACTCTGCATTATATAATGCAGAGTGTGTGTTTGTATGAGTGTGTCCGTATATAATGCAGAGTGTGTGTTTGTATGAGTGTGTGTGTGTATAATGCAGTGTGTGTTTGTATGTGTGTGTGTATATAATGCAGATTGTTTGTATGAGTGTGTGTATAATGCAGAGTGTGTGTATGAGTGTGTGTATGTATAATGCAGTGTGTATGAGTGTGTGTTTGTGTAATGCAGAGTGTGTGTATGAGTGTGTGTATGAGTGTGTGTGTATAATGCAGAGTGTGTGTATGAGTGTGTGTGTATAATGCAGAGTGTGTGTATGAATGTGTGTATAATGCAGAGTGTGTGTATGAATGTGTGTATAATGCAGAGTGTGTGTATGAATGTGTGTATAATGCAGAGTGTGTGTACGAGTGTGTTTGTGTATAATGCAGTATGTGTGTTTGTATGAGTGTGTGTATATAATTATAAAAATCACAGAATTTCATAGCCCCAAGTTTTACCCTCGACTTATCCATGAGGCATAGCATATTTCACAATTGTTGGTCACAAAACTGCACTCGACTTATACATGAGATCGACTTTTACACGAGTATATATGGTAAATGCATGTATCCACCAACTACCAAACATGGAGTCTTGGTAATTCTCACCAACATGTAAGTTTTAATGCTTTAAATCCAGCACTATTCTAAAGTACATTTAAGCATTAAAAATCAATATATTATGGATTTGGTGAACTAGCGTTTAAGCACAAATGCATCAAGACATTTAGCTTTGCCTTAGCATTTCTATATATTCACCAAAACAGCACAAGAGACATTTTCAAAACACTACACATTTCTCTTTTGCAATTAACAACTATTAAATTACTGTACTTCTTTCCCCCATTTGATTTTATACAATTAGCACAAATCCTTTTTAGATTTTAAAAATCTTGAGAATATTTTAATGAGGTGTTTGCAATTCCTCCCTCCATAATTCTTTTACGCAATAACAGTGTCACATACACAAACAGTATAAGGCACTCAGTACTCAATTCAATGCTATTTATCACAGCTTTCACCTGCCACATGACAATGAGAGATATTATATGCACAAGATTAGAAAGATTACCTCTGAGTCAAGTTAAAGGGGCATTCGATCTCCCACAGACAAACTTCAAGTACGCTGCAGTAATGTACAGTGTTCTGCAAATAGTCAGTGCTATGTGACACTGAAACCACTGACATATATGGTAGGGAAAGGTGAACAGAGATCATAATGAGAACTGAGATCCATAAAATGTATGGCTCCACTTGATCATTTCTCTTTAAAAATCACAAATGCTTAGCTAAGTATAAAAACAGTCTTGTAAATCTGTGTGTGTGTGTGTGTGTGTGTGTATATATATATATATATACATACACACATTATATATATATATATATATATAAACTATAGCTAGATTATACCTAACAGAGTACATTTATAAAATCAAAATACACTGCAATGTATTACAATGGGTAAAAATTATACATGCACATAACGCCCAAAATTTTAAATGGACAAAGAGGAACACTTTAATTTTGGGAGGGTGTACAGGGATAAAGCTGTTCTGAGAAAATATAGGCGACTTACTAATAATGTAGGCAACTACAATGTAATTTAGATCTAGAACAATGTTACTTATTTACACAGACTGATTTCTAAACACATTTATTGTAGTTTACACAGACAGATTCATGGAAGTATAATTACTGTGGAGTTCTGTTATACACACAGACACACTAACGATATGGAGCTCCAAAAAAAGAGGGAAATTTGAAGAAAAAAAAAGACAGATTTGGCCCCAAGATGAAGAAATATAGGCCTGAAGGAAAATAAAAATAAAAAAAAGCCTTGCCCCTAGAAAACAAAGTGGGGTGTAATTGTATAACTAACAAAGGGCAATATGTCCAGAAGATAATCCATATGCATGCATGTTGCCAAATTATTCCTACATATTCAGAGTTCTTTATTTGCCTACCAGAAATGTCATAAGATAATGTATTGCAATTCTTTATAAGCCATCGCAAGAAGAGAAAGCTGTTCAGCTCGACATGAACCAAGCGTTACTGCCTATATTGTGCATGGTATGCAATTTTTTGGGGGAGTACCAATACATTAACTTTCACTGGATATTGGAAGTGTTAGCCTGAGCAGAAGCAACAGGGCAGTTTTATTCTCACAGTCAGTATTTATACTTCAGCAGGCAGCTGATATTTCATACCCCACATGGCAGGTTCACCACTATCTTGAAAACTTTGCTGGACCCATTGCCAGCAAGGATTACGTTTTTTTATTAGAGTAACCCTTAAAAGTAAATCCTGGCGCCGATAGAGGCCTTCGACACACAGTCATCCGACGATTCCTTCCACGTTTCCAGCTAGGTGCATATTACACCCCAGCAGCCTAAAGAATTTGGCGACACAGCACCCGCCACGAAAGCCGACATCAAGGCACTGATGGTAAACATCAAAGCGATGTTTGATGCCGACATGGCACTTGTCCGAGGGGAGGTCTCCACACTTGCAGGCCGGGTGGTCTCCGTTGAGTCCCTCGGGGGCGCGAGAGTAGCACAAGCGGCGACAGACGCTGCCCTGGGACAGTTGCAAAAACAATGTGCGGCGTTGACCGCTCAATTAGCGGGCATGGAAGACAAGACTAGAGCCCGAAACCTGCGAATCCGGGGAGTGCCGGAATCGGCGGGAAACCTGGAATTACTACACTATTGTAGGAGGCTGGTGGCAACCTTACTGACTCCCAAACAAGCGAAGCAGGTAGGGATCGACACCTGCTTTCGCCTCCCCAAGGCACTCAAAGCGCCCCAAGAAGCACCAAGGGATGTGTTAATTAAATTTGTCCGGGACTCGGACCGGGGGGGCTCTCATGGGAGCCGCAAGAGGCTCTCCCACCATCATGTTTGAGGGAGCAAGTTTGACCCTATACAGCGACTTCTCAAAGCACACTCTCACCTGGCGCAGGTCTCTCCGCCACATCACCTTGCTACTGGGCGAGAACTCTATCCCCTATAAATGGGGCCCTCATCGTTTAACCATAAAGCACGCCGGTAAGACGGCCCACTTGACACGCATATCTGAAGCGCCTAAGTTTCTCCAGTCACTGGGACTCTCGCTTCCTACAGCAGCGACAAGGGCCAGCCCAGCGTGGAATGTCGATGATATAACTCCCTTTGTGCCCAGAGGAACTGAGCCGAAGATGACGCATCCTTTAACATGAGAAACGCGACCGCACATGCAAGTGCACCTGTGAAATGTCTGATAGGTCCCTTACTGCAGGACTATAAATTGGACGCCTTTCATATGCTGAACTTACCTAGTCTTTTTGCTCACCTTAGAAGCAGTGACTTTTTGGTTCTTGGTTTCTTTTCTCAAAGTTTCTTAAGTTTTCTAAGGTCTTAAAAGTTTATTTTTTGTTTTTTAAGTTTATGAAGGTTACAGGGCAACTGATATATTTAAATCTATGGCTCCGTAAGCAGACTCCCACCGATCCTGGTTAAGCAGACTTGCCCCTCCCCTAACACGAAGCAAATGCAGAGGCCCGAAATTCTGTGTACAAGCGCCCTACTGGGAGACTTGCGAGGACCTGCACCACTCCTATCAACGGCCAACGGCCATAATAACCACACTCCCTCACCTAATAATACAAGTGCCCAGGCTGCGCCTACGGCCCCAACATTCCTAAGCAGAGCACATAATGCAGTATACTAGCCCCTCAGGGAAGCCATACACCTTAGCGGCCACTAACACGAGGGAGAATTGCAGGGCTTTACCTATTAAAAATCGGGTTGCAAAGTTTCTATGCAAATACGAATGTTATATGAAGACTATCTTAAATATATTTTGTACATGTTATTTCACTTTCGTTTTGCACATAATGTACTACGTGTTTAACTCTCGTATACCCACAAAAATAAAGAATTTAAAAAAAAAAGTAAATCCTGCCCTCCAGGTGTGCGAGTCATGATTGTTGGGCTCTCACACAGCCATTATGGGTAATGGGCAGCACACACAAAATATATGTGTGAGAGTGTGAGGACTGTGAAATGGGGAGGGTAGGGGGACAAAATGCAAAAATTCAACAGCTGAGGGGTCCTTAATCTCCAGTTGCCCGGGTGCCCAGTGAGTTGTCAGCCCACCCATGAATACAAGCATTTCAGCAAAGTTCTTTAAAGGAACACTCTTGGGATCATACACACTTCTCTTTGAATGGAGTATGATGGCTTAAGTGTCATGGCTCCATCAATTGGTTCACTATAAAACCATTAATTTTCACTTTAACATTCAATGAGGGTCCCAGATAACCCCAATATTGTATGTTGGGCCTGCAAGTTAATATTGGTCACTGAAGTGAAAAATGCATATTTTTAAAAAGTACACCATGTATTTCATGTGGTGAATTTTGAGACAATTGATACAGCTTTTTTTGGCACAAATTTCTGCTAAGGTTAGTGGTTATATTTGCTGGGTTTATGTCTAATATGCTAAGTGTTTAATAAACTATAAAAGGGGACTAGGCAATACCAATGCATTTATGTATCCATGGAGAAACAAAAATGTAAGGAAAAATTACTTAAAGGGACACTATAGTCAACAGAACCACTGCAGCTTAATACATGTGTGGTTCTGCTGTCTATAACCTGCCCTTGCATGCTCAGCAATGTGAACACTGCCTTTTCACAGAAAAGGCAGTGTTCACATTGCAGCCCAGTAACATCCCTAGTGACTGTCAGACACTAGATGGACTTCCTGGATTTGGTCTTCTTTGGTCAATCTTTGCTGGACCTTTGTTCACTGTCTCCATGCTCTGCATGGAAAAGCTGAAAGCTCCCCATAGAGATGCATTGATGCAATGCAACTCGATGAGGAGAATCTAAATGGCGCGGCGCAACGCAGCGATTTGCCGTGCATGTGCAATAGCCTTCCTATTGGTCAGCTGAGATCATCAAGACTGATAATGGGATTATTTGAAACCCATTTAAGAGGGTTCTTATCATCCTATTGTTCCTGTAACATTTTGTAATTGTCTCATTTATTGTAAAATTTTAGACACACAGTGCAGGGATGCAGAATAAGTTGGCGTATATAAAGGCTAATAATAATAATATTAATTCGTGCTTACGGTATAAAAGTCTGATATGAGACAGAACCAACCAACAGTTGGTAACAGAAATTACATATAAGCAAAACAATGCAGAGAATATACAAAATCAAAAATAAATGCCATATACATTTTAACAATAAATGAGTGTAATATAATAATATTAAAGTAGTTGCACAAGGCAAAAATGGGGGTATAGTCAGACTGCTCATTTTCACAGTAGTATGAGCAGACATGTCTGCAGAGAATGAAAAAAGAAAGAAAGAATCCAGGCTTCTATGTCACATATAACTGTTTAAAAACTTAATTCATTGAACCCATTAGGGAATACGGAGTTTTCTGGGCAGAGGTAGGATTGATTCCCATGCCAAATAGATATGCAGATATACACCAATCACTGACAGCAGGGTGACACAGGGGGTCAACAAAGTACTTATAATTAAGGAGATTTAGCACCTTGGCCGTTTAATCTCTAGAAGCTGAGTTATTCTCTATAGGAATCGGAGGCAAGTTTGATAAAGATTAAATGACTGCATTCATATTAAGGATTACTTTCACTAAAGAGAGAACCTTAAAGGTCTTTGACAAGGAAAAGGAAGTTAAAGGAGACTCACAATAATGGACAAGTCATTTTCAAAAGTCACCACAGGGAAAATGATAAATATATGCTTATAGTAAACAGCAGCTGCTGAATACAAAGTCTCTTCACCTACTTCAAAAATACAGAACAAAATAGATAAAAATGCACAGTGAAAAGAAGAGTAGGTATAATTAGAAACTGAATGAAATCCAGTGCAAGTTGTGTAATGTAACATGTAAAGATGAAATCTTTAATCTTGCATTCTTCTGAAACGTGCGTCTAGTTGGCAGTGCTTGCGATCGCTCAAATGTATGGTTTTAACACAGGCTTCCCCAAACTCCAGCCCTCCAGATGTTGTTGAACTACAACTCCCATGATTCTCAGCCTATCTATTCCATGCATAGAATCATGGGAGTTGTAGTTAAGCAACATCTGGGGGGCCGGAGTTTGGGGAAGCCTGTCTTAACATGTCAAAAGTAGCTGCTCTACAGCTGCACACTGTCGGCAGAACCACTCTCTCTGAGGAAGTGATGCTATGCAATAGTGCATTTTCTCACAGTATCATTTATTAACTGGGGAATAAACGGATTCCTAACATTCCCTTAATCTGCAAACCCAAGGAACTGCCTGAATAAAAATATATGGTTGGGTTTATAGGTTTCTTCTTAGAAATGATGCGAATAAACTATGTACTAGAGGTGATTTTAATGACTTCTGAAAACTCACCGAAAAACTGTACAGAAGGATCAGTGAAGCAACCATACAACATAGCATTGATGTGAATGCAAAGATGTTAATACTCCTGTAATCGCTTGTAAAATGCTCACTCTAACTACTACAGGACCAGAGCTGTTGTGATCAACACTCTCTTGGGCATTTTCAGTATAAGTTCACTCTCAGATCAATCTATGCACAGGGAAACACTGCAGGTAGAGACAGTGTTCTTAATTGGTCTTTTCAGCTGGTATGAACAAATCAAATTCCTTTTGAGCTACACTCGAACAAATCGATTTACTTGTTTCACTAAACAAGACTCACCCAGCTAATCCCGGATGGATCAATTCGTTTGGGCATAGATTAAAAGGAATTTGATTTGCTTTTACCAACTGAAAAGTAATTGTGCACATGTTTATGCTGTTTCTGTATTACAAGCCTCTTTGCTGACAGCTATCAGTTCTATAAAGAAGCCTTAAAAATATAATATTCCAATATTCACAAGGCCCATCCTCCTTACTAACCTTTGCAACCCATTGGTGACACTGTTATTCAGTGATCAATAGTCTATAAGGTTTGCACTCAATCATAGTGATCATGAGTAAGATAGATGCTTGGAAAGGGGTATAATATGACTGTCCTTTGCTCCCCAACATCCTAACTTCTAATCCCCTTTACAGGAAACATAAAGCAATGCCTTTATCACAGTGTTATCCATCCTTGAAGGGATAGCTCTCTGTCACAGTCCATAAAAACAACATTTATTTATTTTGATATTTTTTTTCTGCAAAAATATATATGACATTTAACCGTACCAGTTTGTAAAAATGATTACAGAAAACTATTTTAATGTTTTACCATGATTAACAATGAGTTATATATGTATAAAAGGCATCAAAAGAAGGCATTAACATTATATTCACGGGTGCACAATATAAAGAGAAAAATTACCACTTTGAAGCAACACAAAGCAGAAACGACAAATTGACACTGGTTCTAAGGTGAAAAGATGCCTTTTCAAACTTCAGGTTAAATGAAAACTGCTACTCCATTGAGTATTCTTTATATGAGTTCTCCATTTAAGTGATTCTATAACTACTGATAAATGGATAAGGTCTAGAAATAAAATCATGGGTTTAGAGAAAAGGAAATCCAAAAGTAAACATCAAGGATTAGGAAGAAAGGCAAAGACATAAAAATGTATATGTGGAATGTGTATATGTTAGGACACTACAACTAAATAAAAGTATCGTTTTAAACAAACAAAAAATATGTGATTTTCTTTTTTAACTCCTTATGGACCAAACTTCTGGAATAAAAGGGAATCATGACATGTCACCTATGCCATGTGTCCTTAACCCCTTAAGGACACACGACATGTGTGACATGTCATGATTCCCTTTTATTCCAGAAGTTTGGTCCTTAAGGGGTTAAGGGGTTAATGTAAATAAACAAAGACACAAATAATGAACAAACAGAGCACTGGGCCAAATGTATCCAATCCCATGTGCTTATAAGTACCTTGCGTGCTATAGGCTCCTGATTTTCCATTAGGGTATACCAGCTAACAAGCTTGTTCCAGCCTTCAGTCGGCAACAAAATGTAGTCAAGTTCATCAATGAGGTGCTCCTTGAGAGACTGTGTGTCGGTGTCTAAAAAAACAAAACAAAAACATTTAAAAAATGAATATATACATATATAAATAAATTACGTGTATGTCTTGAAGCTTGGTAATTGGGTGTCTGCTATTTTCCTACTTTATACTTGTTACATTTCTAACATTGTCTGAGAAATATTGCCACTTTTAAAGTTGCTCTCAACATTACTTAAAGAAACACTTTTTTTTTTATATATAGCAATACAACACTGTGTAAACTGTTAAGTTACCTCTCTTACATTGGGAAACTTTGTAACATCAACATAATAATTATGACTCTACAATGTAATTTTACTTTTTGTTTTAGTGCTTTCTTTACTTTTGTTGTTATAGTTCAACATTGTGAACCAACATGTGTCATGTGTCTATTTGATAATTTTGTAACGCTGTATTTATTCACTGTACCTTATAACATGAAAACTCAAAAAAATAAACAAATTGAACTGCACATGGACGGCTGCAGTGTCTCGAGTTGTTTGGGAAAACAAATGTGTTATTTTAGCCATCACACAAGATAACTTGGGAGTCAAGTTATAACGTGAGGCTTCACAAGGTTAGAAGTCAGGCTGTATTCATTATAGGTACATCAAACATGCTTGCCATCTTATTTTACTATATTATAAGAAGCTCTACGTATGTCTCTCTTCATACTACTAAAAATGGAGAAAAGGGAAAAAAAAAACGAATTGGTAAACACATGCAGGAGCATTGCTGGCGGTAAATTGACCTGGGTCTGATTTAGGCACATTAATTGATATCTTCGAGTCCTGTGTCAACTTGTATTATATAATTTGTGATACAAGTTGACACAGGATAAGTTTGTCTCCATATTTGGAGATCTACAGCACAGTGTAGGGGTTTTAATACTACACGTTTGGGGTTAATGCGGCGTGGTGTGGGGTTAATACAGCAGAAGAGGCGTTTATAAATATTGATTTATATAACACTGAATTCATTCAAAGTTTTGGTACTATAGAACATGTTAGGGTCTAAAGGACCACTCTAGACCTCCAAAGCTCTTTATGTGTGAAGAATTAGATGTCAGTAGAAATTGGCACTTTTAGAAATTAATCTTGTTACACCCAACTGTCAGCTAGACAACCAGTGATGTTTCTTTCTGGTTTGTTTAGCTCAGTAAACCTCAACTCAAAAGGCAGCAATTGCCCAGTACCCCCAACTTGCAAAGACTTTTCACTGAGCTGCATTGGGAAGGAAGGCAGTAATTTAACAGCAACAGAAAGAAATGCATAGTTAAATGCATGATTGTGTTAATTGGGGGTATATCTGGTAAACAGTCATTTATTTAGTTATTTTGTATTGTATTGGTTTTTGAGCATGCTATAGAGTGGGCTTTCAAAAGGTGCCAGGAAATGTACCCTTGGGCTAAAACATCTGCTCTCTTTGTCACATAACACCTCTGTATAGATACAGGAGTAACATATGGCCAAAGCCCTATTTTAATGTTTGCATTTACTTGGAAAAGCAAATGACATGGACACTGAAGTAATACTAAAACCCACCAGTTATTTACGTGTGCATAGTACATAGAAGCTAAGAAAAACTGTGATCATTGCTGCCATCCAGGAGTAGTGGAAGTTTGAGCGCAGGGCTTATATTTGGGTGTTTGTAAATGACATGGACTACCAGGAAAAAAAAAAAAAATCTCTTGCAAACACACATATAGATATTAAAAATATAAATATATTAAAGAATGACCTTTGAGGAGTCCGGAATTATCAATGGGACCGGGATACACATTCTGATCTCCCATCTGGTATTTGTCCCAGCTGTCAAACCCAACATATTTTTTCCACTGCTTGAACCAGCGACTGTCGATCAAGTACCTGAAAAACAGTTTGAAATTAAAACTGCAAAGTAAACGTGCTAAAGCATGCACAAATTTATCAACACAAGAAAAAAAAAGGCTTGAATTACACAAATGTCTAAAAGTATTTTGTGCTTCTATATAATCTGCTACTAAATTATTGTATGATGAATTTAACAGAGGTAAAGTAATTAAAACATCCTAAGAATAGAATAATTTGTAAAGAAGTAATATTTAAGAAAAAAGTTTAAATAAATTGAAGTATAGAAATCCCATCACAAAAGCTATGAATATTCCACTTGGCAAGTCTGTCATAATCTATTGTGAATGTTACAAATTGATCTTCATGCAGAGACATTCTGTTTTATGGTTTTCTGTTTAATAAAAAGTTGTATTTCTGCACTTACAGCATACAAGACATTTAACAAGCCACTTTTTCATTACTATGCATTTATGTAGAACTATAGATTCTGATTTAATAGCGTATTGTTATATGCACCAAAACAATTATTGCATGGAAAAGTGTTCCAAAATTCATACAAGCTAAGGAACACAAAACATTACTGAAAAGCCACATATCTAGATGAATACAGATTTTACACAATATAGAGATCTTAAAAGGTATACAGCTCTATGTACTGGTTACAATGCAGATTTTCTTTTGGTGCCATTGTTAATGTCAAATCTTTCCTCTCCAGGCGCATTAGCTGCTGGAGAGGAAATCTAACGAAGAAATTGAATTCTGAATTAACTTGTATACCACCAAGTTAGCATATACTTAACATCAGGGCTCGACAAATCCCAGGCGCTAGGTCGCCATGGCGACTAGAAATTTTGCCTTGGCGCTTGGAATGCCAGCCCTTTAGCTTGCGCAAGCTCTAAAGCCGGCCGTGGTGATTAACACTGGAGCAGGCCACTCTAGTGAGCATGGAAGCGGCCGGTTCAGGCAGCAAGGAGGCGGCAAGTGAAGGAGCAGTAATCGCGCTGATGTTTAATGATGCCTGGAGTTGGAATAGGATGTCACCCCAGCCCCGACATCACTACAGAGAGCATGAGGGAGCAGAGTGGAGCTGCAGGAAGATTACTGCTCCCTCGCACAGAGGAAGAGAGAGCAGCCTCACTGGATCCCTGGGAAAGATCCACTCAGCTTTCCCAAAAGTAAGGAGGCTGGGTGAATTTCAGTTAGAATAAAAATGTCAGTGTGTGTATCTCTGTGTAGGTACCTGCCCCCCTCCAATCGCACGACAAAGGTGTTTTTACTCACCTTTTCCCCATGCCGTGTCGATTTCACCATAGCTAGTCCTGCCTCCATGGCTAAAATGATCTATCTTAATGATCTCACCTATGCCAATGTTTTCCCATGGGAAAGCATTGGGAGGATATTGCGCATGCAAAGCAAAACACAGCACTGTACCAATCAGCATAGAGATGCCCTGAATCAATGCATCACTATGGGGGAAGATTCGGAGCCTCCATGCAGAGCATTGAGACGCTGAATGTAGGTGCTGCACTCTGTGCAGCACTGACCAAGGACTCTCTAGTGGCCATCTGAGTGACTGTCACTAGAGGTGTTACTAGGCAGCAATGTGTTTACATTGAAAGGTCTGCAGGTACAAGCTGTCTATAGTGTCCCTTAAGAATTGCATTTTTCTTGTTAAAAATTAAACTCAAAATTTGTTGAAAAAAAAATAACTGGCTCCTAACTTTTTTAACTGGTTCCTAGATTCCAAACAAATTTGTCAAGCACAGTTGTAGTATACAAGTGACCCCAAGACTCAGCTCTATTAGGGAGTCCAGAAGAATGTCACAAAAACCCTCAGAAACAGCCTATTCCTTCTATCCCTGATTAGATTGCTTTATAACTGCAGTGATTAGAAAAATCGCTGTACATATGATATGACTGCAGTGATTTGCAAAACTGCTGCACACACGATATGACTGCAGTGATTTGCAAAATTGTTGTAGACATTCCTTTACAGCTCCTGTAGTTTGTGTGAGCCACAGACTGTGAATGGGGATGTGAGTAATACGATAACAGCAATGGTATGGCTGCAGTCCATTTATTTAATAGTTACACACATCAATTCTAGTGAGTGGAAGTGACACTGAGCTGAACTACATCATAATCAGAGACCAATTTTAGACAGTATGTGGGGCTGCAAGTCTGTCCTTGGAAACGGTCTGGTGGGTGCTAGCTAGCACATGCCCTTGCAGCAGAATTAGGAATGTTAACGACAAGCAGTTATTTTATTATATAGATTAAATGAACACTCCAATCTTTGGAGTGTCACTTTAACCTAATACATGGGAGCTACTGCCCCCACCAGAATTAAAAAAAATAAAGGAGAGGCCCTTTCACCAATGCTTTACTTGTCCTCCCCTTTCAGTCCTGCACAAATTGGCACATGTGTGCCAATAGAATTGGGCAATCTAAAAGAATATTTCTTACAGGGAAACATTACTAACACTTCCCAACGGAAGTTCTTCATTATCGTTCAAGAGGAGCTGCCAGCTTGACTAGTGTTCCAAACTAATTCATAATAGTGTCGATTTATCCTGAAAGGAGAACTGGTTTAAGGATTTGAAGTGTACCTTTAATGCATTAAGCAATTAGGTCAGTCCCAGCCCTGGTGTGCGCAGTTCATCTTATGTTACAACGAGTAAGCCAAATACGGTTTCTTGATTCATCATAGCTCCTGTATCATAAAAGCAATTACGCATCCATGTCATTTTGTTGAGAGATCACATGGGGTCAGCATCATAGGAGATACATGCACACAGCCTAGTGGCTCAGCAGATCTTAGCATGGAGTCTGGTTCACAAGAGAGCTGGGTTGTGAATAAACTGATAGCAGCTGCTGAATGTATCAGTAACAGTTGCACTCTTTCTGGTGATGAGAGAAACTGTGGTTAGGAACTATACTGCATATTTCATAAATCCATGGACAAGGGTTTAGGAAATAAGAAAAAGCCACAGACCAGAATGAGATGCTACTATTTAGTGCTGCCCCTTCCTGACTAGATAGGTGTCTGCCAGTGTCAACTGGAGCACTTGCCCATGCATGTGCTGGGATTTGCAGTGGAAACAACTATGCATAGTGGGTATGAGAGGTCTTAGGATAGACAATCAGATTGTGCTGAGATTTTCATGAGTAGGGGAAGGGGAGATTGTTGAGATCTCATGCATGATAGCAGCCATTTGTCTCTGTGAAATAAGCTGCAAAGTTTAGAGCTGTTAAATTATTGGAAGGGACATTAGCAATGGGGTTAAGCCATGTGTTGGAAGTGACAAAAATGCATTTAGGATTACAAGAGAATATGGTTATAAGGGAACTGAAGTAATGTTCTTTGGCAACGGACACGGCCAAGCTGTAAGAGTTTAACAAATTTATAATCGAGAAAAATAGACTTGTGCATGTCTGCAGCAACTTTCTGAAACACGTGTTGGAAGAGAGATCGGAATCAAAAGAGGCCTGCAAGGGCACTCATGGAACCACGACCAGTAAAGCAGGCTGTAATTTCTGCCCATACCTTTAATGCTAACCAGTGTTTGTATGTGCTAATACTGCATTTAACAAGCACATATTCCCCTCTTCCACTCTTGTCTGATCTAAACTGCAGTTAATGGTCACTTTAAATACATTTGGATAGAATAAAGTGATGTGATCTTACAGAACTTCATAAGCAAACCTTCAAGCCTTAGTTTATTTTCTAACTACCGTCTCTAAGAGAAACCTCTGTAGAGTTAATCTCTATAAATGTATTTTCAACCAATGGTATTGGTATCCCAGGGGGTATGCCAAGAGCTGGCCAGATAGCCATCGTAGCGCCTGCTCAGGAGGCAGCCGGCTTTGCACTAAGGCAGATTGGGCACCTGCTTACCCGGACTACAGGTGACTATTCTGCCCAAATACAATGCCTGAGGGTAGAAAGGAGGCCGAGGCAGCGAGGGAGACTAATCTTTATGATCTTCCAGCACAGCTCCTTCGTGCACCATGCTGTGATGTCAGGAGACAAGTTATGGCATTACTTAAACTGACAGTAGTAACCCATCCTCTCATAAACACTGTCCATATTAGCCAATACTCCCCAACCCCCTCTTTACTGCCTGTAGTACCACTCTACCCACTGCTGCACTATATCACTCATTACCTCCAGACCATCACCACCAAATTCCCCAAATAATCCTGTTCTCCCTTCCCCATCCTATTGCTAGAAAAAGCCAAATTTATCCATTACCCATAATAGTCCATTCTTCCTGCTTCCCGTAATAGCCAATTCTTACACTAATACCTCCTCACTGCCTGTAGTAGCCTACTTCCTCTTCACTATGCCCGTAGTTGCCCATCCACTAGTAGTCTATTCCCCACCATCTCAGCCTGTAGTACCTAATTTCCGCTTCCACCTGCCAGTAGCAGTTAAAAGCCCATTCCTTTTTCTCCTTTCTCAGTTCCAATACTAGCCCATTCCCCACACTAGTTATATTCGTTATCAATTCCCCTACCCTCCAGATTGCCAATAGTAGCCCATTCTGATTATTATGTTATTATTTATATAGCGCCAACAAATTCCGCAGCGCTTTACAGTGGGTGGACGAACAAACATGTAGTTGTAACCAGACAAGTTGGACACACAGGAACAGAGGGGTTGAGGCCGGCCCTGCTCATATGATGGTAAAGCCTCCCCTTATCTGCTTACTACTGTTGTTGGGGAGACCTATTCCCCAATATACATCAATGTGACCAATGCAGCACTGATAAGTTCAGCTCTGGAGATACAGCACATGACATAAGGCAGAATTACAGTATGAGTCACACTGATCACTGCTATGTGGATCACACCTTTGCTAATGTGCCTGTTGTTGCTAGCAGAAGCTTTGGCCAAGAGGTCCAAGATGGAGATGTCGATTTTAGAAGTGTGTGGCTTGATATCGGAGCATGGGCTTGGCTATTTTACCAACATTTAGTTGTTTTTACTGCCATTTGTATAACTGAAAACTCCATTTAGAACAATACTTATTTATTCCTATAAACTAAATTTCCATGTACCTTTGCGGTGGTATAAAGACGCCTTATATCCATTACACATGCATACAGACCAAAATGATTTAATGTGCAAAGAAGAAACACAACAAGATGAGAATGTGAGAAGAAGTTTTGTCCTTGCTAAACAGTAACACCCGGGGGTATAGACAGATAATTACCAAAATAAAGGTAAGCTTATCCCATCTTTTTAATTCACAGCCTTGCAATGCTTCTGGATAGAATATTAAACATATATGGTGATCACAAGTACAGCACAGCTCCCTGCTATTAAAACAAGTTTCTGGAATCAGAGACAGACTATATATGGCAACTACCAATTTAGGAATACTGATAAGGACATATCTTCACCAGCCTGCAGCTCTTACCAGAAAGAAAACCAGCATGCTTGTTCATTGCAGACAACTGGCAGAGCCGACGAGAACATCAAGAACTAAATTGAAAAGCAAATGAAGCAAGGAAAAGAAGTGATGACAGATGCAGAATGCTTTCCTGAATTTTAGTGATTTACACGTTTCCTTCTAACCATCACTTCTCCATTGAAATCAGTAGATTTCAACAAACCTGTGGGGCAACCCTAGATTTATTTTGTTCAGCAGTGCTTATGCATGAACAATACTTTTAAAAAGCATATCAAAAAGCAGTGCTGACTATTGGGCACTATTGCTACTTGTTTTAAAACTCTCATACGGCATTGGTGAGCACTGGAACACACAACCCAAAAATAAAGCAACACATAAAAGTATATTAAGAAAGATAGTGCTCAGGGACTGATAAATAATTCTAGAATTCCGAAGCCATCTGATTAATAGCCATTCATAAACTTTGTAAAATGATCCAGAAATTTAGACGAGTAACAATATTTCTAACAGCCATATGTCATATACATAGTCTAAGCGGAGTCAAATATTTTTTTTATTCCTTTGGACAGCATACTGCAACAGGTAATATGTAAAGCATTGCAGGCCACGTATGGTACACAGCAAACAAATACAGTCTGTCACTTATTTACAGGTATTACATGATGTAACTATAAAGAGGAAACACATAATGACAGTCTCTTGCTCACAGTTGATTACAAGTTACCTCCCATCAGTGATTTTACAGTCATTGTATATCAATGGAGATCACTGAGAACTGCTGTATTCAGAGCACACAAAAGTGAAGAATGCAACATGCATTTTTATTTATTTTGCAATAAGTATATTTACAAAACCAAAATTAGGTTTGTAATTAGGTTTGTATTCCATGATAGCACTGACCAGATTATTGTGAAAATGGCAGAAGCCTGTCTTAAACGGTAAATGTTATTTACTTAATAAAAAAAAGGAACAGCATTCTGTTTTAATAAAAGTCATGGTGGCTTTTTCACTGGTAAACATGTTCCAAGTAAAGCAGTTGTTCTTGGCCAACGTGAAGTGACGAATTGTGGATGGAATTCCAAGTAGCAACAACCGATCACCTGTATCTGGTAGTCTAGCTACATTATAAATATAAATTATCCTCTAAGTAAGGACTGCAACATCTTATAATGCTAGGCTCACCAAGGTTTCCAGATTCATTTTTGGATACGTAAATTGGGTAAGCAGCTAAATCTCTCTGGCTCTAAGCCCTGCTGTAGTTGATATAATTGAATACGTCCTCTTGACACGTATTAGCAAAGCCTCTCCCATATGAAAGAAAAAGTTTGAGAGATAGCACCTGAAAGCATACAGACTTTAATCAATACTAGGGAGACCGATATTGATTTTTAGAACCGATACCTATAATCTGTGAACTTTCAGGCCGATAGCTTACCAATATTCTGTACCTTTACCTTATTTTTTTTTTAATTAAGTGGTAAATGCACATACATGCCAATCAGATTTTTATTTATGTTTTCAATAGTATTTGTGTGTGTGTGTGTAGTGGATGCAGTGAGTGTATTTGATTAGTAAACGCAGTGTGTGTGTGTGTGTGTGTTTATGTAGTGGATGCAGTGTGGGTAGTGGATTCAGTGTGTGTGTTTGTGTAGTGTATGCAGTGTGTTTGTGTGTAAATATGTGCGGTAGGAACTCCCATCCCCCTCCCCCATTCCTCTATGTTCTCTTTTAGTGGACCTCCTCCTACCCCAGTGTTCCTTTTCCCTTACCTCCCCTATACCTTAGTGTCCTCCCTTAATGTCGCTCTCTCCCCACTAGTGTTCTTCACCCCCCCCCTTCCCTGTCCCATAGTGTTCTTCACCCCCCCTTCCCTGTCCCATAGTGTTCTTCACCCCCTTCCCTGTCCCATAGTGCCTTCACCCCCTCCCCGTCCCAAGAAAAGCCCCTTCAAGCACCCCCCCGTCCCACAAAGTTCTCAAATTCCCCTCCCTTCCCCTTCGTCCTAGGCAAAAAGTTCTGTATCACCCTCCTTCCCTGTCCCATAGTGTCTATCACCCCCTTCCCTGTCCCATAGTGTTCATCACCCCCTTCCCTGTCCCATATGTGTTCTTCACCCCCCTTCCCTGTCCCATAGTGTTCTTCACCACCCTTCCCTGTCCCATAGTGTTCCTTACCACCCCCTTACATAGTGTTCCTTACCACCCCACTTACATAGTGTTCCTTACCACCCCACTTACATAGTGTTCCTTTCCACTCAACCTCCCCCATAGGGTTCCTTTCCACCCCAACCCCTGTCTCATAGAGTTCTACCACCCCCATCCTATAGTGATCCTTAACACCCCCTGTCCCATAGTGTCGACCCCCCTCCACTCCCCTGTCCCTTAGTGCCCCTCTCTCACCTCCTTGGTCCCCGCCCCCCGGTGTGTCTCCTTGTAGCGTGGCAGATTCAGTCTCCTGGACCCGGCCGGACTGACAAGAAGAGTTCTCTCATCGAGCACTTCCTTTCAGTCCGGCCGTGTACAGGAAACATAACTTCCTGGCCTGCACTGCTCCGCTCGGCCACACAAAACAGAGTGCCAGGCAGGAGGGAGCGCTGTGCGCCCACCTCCTGCCGGTCACTCCGATCTAGCGCCCAACGGGCCGCTTGTGCCGCCTTATGGACGCGCAGGCCCACTCATTCATTACCTGTATTGCTGGTGATTATCAGCCGATACTTACAAAAAATTAAACTGTGCATGAATTAATCACCAGTATGTTGTTAAACGCGTAAAGGGACAATCTAAGCACCATAACAATTAGTGTGCTGTAGTGGTTATAGTGCCAGAAATCCCCTGGTGGTGTTCCAGCTAAATAACAATAAAACCATTTTCAAATGGTTAGACACTTGGTTTTCCTGAGGACTCACTGCCTATTTTCAGAAATATCACGAAAGCAGACATTCCCTTTCTGATAGAACAATATACATTTTGTACACATAATGAAAAATTTATATCGCTAATATGGAAGGGGAACTTATGTTTTAGAGATAGCTGTGAAGAGGGATTCGACCACAGTTTCCCAAAGTTGAAAAATGGTTTGATTCTTAACAATGGGAAAACCCCAAGCAGCATAACAACTATAGTGCCAGGAAACATTTCTGTGGCCAAATGAACACAAAAAGGACAAGACAATGAATAAATGTGGTTGGTTCCCAAAATGCTTAGCTATTGGGTTTTTTTCCCACTCCCACTGCTCTTTTAATTTTAAACCTTCCGGTGTGTAAAAATGTATATATTTTTTTTAATGGATTTAAAATAGTGGTGGTTTATTCATTATTTTCATCACATTTTTATACGAATAAGTCTCTTTACCTTATGTGTGCGTTAGTCTGAAAAGCAAAGAGTGTAAGGTGATTGACAGGGTTATTGAATTGGGATTTCAGAGGGAGTTTCTCATTTTAGGGGAATACAGCAGATTTGGAGGCAGTGATTTGGAGGGCAGTGAATTGGGAGGCAGTGATTTGTGGGGCAGTGATTTAGGGGGGCAGTGATTTAGGGGGGGGCAGTGATTTGGGAGGGCAGTAATTTGAGGGCAGTGATTTGGGAGGGCAGTAATTTGAGGGCAGTGATTTAGGGGAGGCAGTGATTTGGGGGGAGGGCAGTGATTTAGGGGGGGCAGTGATTTGGGAGGGCAGTGATTTGGGGGGGGGCAGTGATTTAGGGTATGCTGTCCCATGTCATTGAGTGCATGCAGTGAGGCTGTCAGTCAGTGCTGGGACACACACAGTGTTCCGGCCGGTCCCCGGGGTTGCTCGGTGCTCCCCGCACGGCAGGACATGATACAGATATTCATTAACCTCCCACCCACCAGGCCCCCCCGGGCCGGTCACTGCCCGCTCACCACGTGTCCCCTCTCCGCAGCTGGGTTTTCAGTAAAGCGGACACTTCAGTTCTCTGAGTCTCCAGATCCACCACTCCGCCCTCCGCCATCTTCCTCTGCTGACAGCTGCGCGCTGCATCCTGGGAGTGACGTCAGCGGCCGGGGAAGTCGAGGGGAAGCGCGTGACCGACACTGTGTGGTGGGGGGGTGGGTGCAGGGCTGGCAATGTTGGCATGGGGGTGCAGGGCTGGCAATGTTGGCATGGGGATGCAGGCTGGCAATGTTGGCATGGGGTGCAGGCTGGCACTGTTGGCATGGGGTTCAGGCTGGCAATGTTGGCATGGGGGTGCAGGGCTGGCAATGTTGGCATGGGGATGCAGGCTGGCAATGTTGGCATGGGGTGCAGGGCTGGCAATGTTGGCATGGGGTGCAGGCTGGCACTGTTGGCATGGGGTGCAGGCTGGCACTGTTGGCATGGGGTGCAGGCTGGCACTGTTGGCATGGGGTGCAGGCTGGCACTGTTGGCATTGGGTGCAGGGCTGGCAATGTTGGCATGGGGTGCAGAGCTGGCAATGTTGGCATGGGGGTGCAGGGCTGGCAATGTTGCATGGGGGAGCAGGGCTGGCACTGTTGGCATGGGGGGCAGGGCTGGCAATGTTGGCATGGGGGTGCAGGGCTGGCAATGTTGGCATGGGGGAGCAGGGCTGGCAATGTTGGCATGGGGGTGCAGTGCTGGCACTGTTGGCATAGGGGTGCAGGGCTGGCAATGTTGGCATGGGGGAGCAGAGCTGGCAATGTTGGCATGGGGTTGCAGGGCTGGCGCTGTTGGCATGGGGGTGCAGGGCTGGCACTGTTGGCATGGGGGTGCATGCTGGCAATGTTGGCATACGGGTGCAGGCTGGCAGATGGTTGACAAGGGGGGCAGGGCTGACACTGTTAGTATGGAGGAGTGGGTTGACATTGTGCAGTGGGTTGACATGGGGGTGCAGGCTGACACTGTTGGCATGGGGGCAGCCTTGCCAGATTCCACAAGCTCACAGCTTCTGGACTGGTGGTAAAAGGGGCAACTATGACTAGTCCCTTTTGGAGTAAGGGCTCAGTAAACCCATCTATCAGGGTCTGCTCTCTCTATTCTCACTTAATAAAAAATTACCTGTAAGAAAGTTTGTTGTTGTTTTTTTTGCATTGAATATTTGTGTTTTTGTTGCTATATGCATTTTTTTCTTTAACCCCTTAAGGACACATGACGGAAATATTCCGTCATGATTCCATTTTATTTCAGAAGTTGTGTCCTTAAGGGGTTAATGGTAAGAGTCTAGATAATATCTTATTTTATGGTTCTTTTTACTATTTTCTGTTCCTTACAACATTATTTTAAGACATACAATGGTATGGGGTGTACTCAAATACTGCACTGTTAGTGTGCAAGGGGGTATTATCTGACCGTACAAATGTCCTACTTTACCCATAGATTTCCCCAGGCAGCAAGCAGGCTACCGGTATAATCTTACAATGTTTAACCCCTTAATGACGAAGCCAATCGTACATGTTCTGATCAAAACAAAACCTGGAACTTGCGCTATATGCCTGTTCAACTGTAATTCACCACTTCATATTATGCTCATATATATATATATATATATATATATATATATATATCATTGTGTTCAGGAGAAACAGGGCTTTCATATCACATCAAATATTTATATAAGAAATATAATTTTAAATGAATAAAATGTAAAACAATTTGAAAAAATTAAGAAATTTGTTTAGTTCTGCATTGCATTTTAACTGTAAATGTCATAATGCTGTTAACCTTTACGGCAATAAACTACACATATTTGTATTCAGCGATGTCTAATGAGTACAACAGAAATTTGCCAGATTAGTAATGTTGCCTTTACCGTATTGTAGCCACTTACTCCAGGGACATTTTAGCCGCGAGGCAAACAAGGCACTTGCCTTGGGCGGCATTTTCCAGGGGGCGGCAAAAAAAGCCGCCCCAAATGCCCAGGGCAAATGTCTTGTTAGCCTTGCGGCTAACTGACATGCTGGATGGGCTGATGGTCTGGTTGCTGGGCGGTCGGGGGGTGCTGGTGTGCGACTGGTGAGGGAGCACTTCCTCTGAGCTGTTTGCTCAGCTCCCTCGCGCGCCGCAGAGTGAGGCTGGGAGCCGGAATATGACGTCATCTTCCGGTTCCCGGCATCACTCTGCAGCGCGCGAGGGAGCTGAACAGAGGGCTCAGGGGAAGTGGTCCCTCGCCAGTCGCACGCCAGCGCTGCCCAGCAGCCACTGGACCCCCAGGGAGAAAGAGAACCCCCCCAGCATTCCCAAAAGTAAGGAGGCTGGAGGGGGGGTTTAAAAAAAATGTGTTAATGTGAGTTTGTGTGTGAATGTCTGTTAGTGTGTGTGTGTGTCTGTTAGTGTGTGAGTGTGTTTGCCTGTGAGAGTGTGTGTGTGTGTGTGTCTGTTAGTGTGTGAGTGGGTTTGCCTGTGAGTGTGTGTGTGTGTCTGCGAGTGAGTGAGTGTGTGTCTGTTAGTCTGTGTGTGTCTTTTAGTGAGTGTGAGGGTGTTTCTGTTAGCAAGTTTATGCGTATCTGTCGGTGAATGTGTGTGTGTGTGTGTGTATTTAGAAGGCGGGGCGTGGGGAAGGGTTGGGTGGGAGTGGCGCGGGGAGGAGGGCGTCTGAGTTTTGTCCTGCCTAGGGCAGCACAAAACTAGGATACACCACTGACTTACTCACAACACTAGCTAAAGTTAGCTTTCATATTTGTTTTTGTGTGAAAAATGCAAAAAACAAATATGAACGCTAACTTTGGCCAGTGTTTGTGACTAAGTGGCTACTAAAAAAGACTGGACATACCCCACTTGCAATACCTTGGGTTGTCTACTTTTGCAAATGGTATGCTATCATGGGGGTAATTCTCATTCCTGGGCTTCCATATGGTCTCAAAGGCAAAATTATTAATCTGGCAAATTTCAATGTGGAAAAAAATTAAATGCAAGCCTTATACTTGACTCTTTAACTTTCCAAAACACCATAAAACATGGGGGGGTACTGTTATACTCGGGAGACTTCGCTAAACACAAATATTAGTGTTTCAAAAATGTAAAATGTAATACAACAATAATATTGTCAGAGAAAGTTCTGTTTGTGTGTGAAAAATTACAAAAAACTTCACTTTCACTGATAATATCGTCGTTGTAATACATTTTACTGTTCTAAAACACTAATATATTATTATAATTATACATTTATATATATATTTGCAATTATTTTTATTTATTTATATATAGAATTACATTCTAAGTGTTACTATAATGGAAATATATTACCTGCCTATGCCCCCACCTGCCTTTCGGTAATTACCCTGATTAAATATAAAATGGAGGGTGGACATGCCATTGCCAAAATAATAGCATGACTACACAACACCGGTGAAAACAAACACCGCTGACATCTGTTGGCGATCATGTGGTGAAAGAGGCAGTTACATCCATATGTGGTGGACACGTGCTAGGGTGACTGAATTCTGGCAGCAGGTGGTTGAAATGGGAGCAAATGTTTTACAAAGACCTTTAGACGTACATCCCTGGGCCTGTCTATTGTCGAGACCTACAGAAGGTCTAATTAAACACGAGCAGAAACCATTAAACATGATTTACTTAGCTGCTCGCAGAGCATTAACACATGGATGGCTTAACCCTGTTACCCCATCGATACCTCAGGTTGCTGCTAAGGTGAAAGATAACTACTTGATGGATAAACTGACAGTGCAAGTTAGAAAAACACTGACATTTCAGAAAGTGTGGGATCTGTGAGAGCAGTAGATTTAGTGAGAAATTTGAGGGTAGAGGGGGGGAGCTGGGGCCCACCATCTTCCATTATATAGATGACTTGTTATGGCTTTTCAAGCTATGTACTCAAGTATAACTTACCTGAAAAAGAGTGCTACTAACCAATTTTGCATTGCAAATTAACTGGACCTTTTTTGGCCTTTGCATGATGCAGATACATTGTACAATTCCTTTATCTGTTATTTTATTATTATTATTATTATAAAACTGAAAAATTCTTTATAGCCGATGCAGACACATTGTATAATTCTTTTATCTGTTATTTTATTTCTATTACAAAACTGAAAAATTCTTTATGAGTATGTATTACATCATATGCTATCAATTGTCTTTATGATTGTATCTAAATAAAGAATGAAAAAAAAAAAAAAAATAACAGTATGCTATCTCCCCCCCTATCTCCCCCATTTCCCTGGTGACTATGGGTTCCCATTTTTCTATCAACCCTCCTAAAATAAAGTCCCTAACCTCCCCAACTCCTCGCCTTATAGTAGGAGTCACTAAAACCTGTTAAAAAAAAAACATTATAATTACCATCCAAAGTCTTCTTTCTTCTAGCTCTACTGTTCTTCCGCCCCCCAAAAAAAGGAGAAAATATCAAGAATAATGATGCCATTAATTGTAATTTAAAAAAAATGTGGGCTGGGGGCACGGGATGAACTATGTACCCCTGTTATTTCTCTTGCCTCTTCATTATAGCAATATCGGGGTTATATTGACCCCCCTAGGATTTGTGTTTATTTATACTATTTTAATGTCTGGCTGGCCAGCCGCTCACATAATTAACCCTTTCACTGCCAAGGGTCATTCAACTTGTCACAGGTTCGTTAGGCTGTTGTCGCTGTTGCTACGATCCTCCACTAGTCCTAGTTCCAGATGTGCTGAGTGTTGTGATAGCGCTATTGCTGTATAGAGTTTCCCAATATAATGGACGCAACCAGCCATATTGGGTAGAAGATCAACTGAGCTTTATTAGGCCACACTCGGCTTTTTATGTACAGACTCCCAGCATGGGGTCTCCATTGAAAAAAGTACAAACCCCTCCCCGGCTCTTAGGTTCAGGTACAGGTCTCTTAGATACAGTAAGTAAGACAAAATGACACAAAACATCCCAAAAACATATCAATAATATACAGGAACCCCACAAAAATCAAATCCCCAAATAGCTCAGATCTGAGCACCCAAGTTGTCCAAATAGATCACTCCGGTAGAACTGAATCGCCATTCGGGTGAAGTTTTGACAGGTCGACCAGGCAATAGCCCATAATAGTTTCA